TATTTTAAGGTATGTAAGATGTATCCCATTTCAACATAGAATATTTAGGGAAAAAGTATTTACTATAATTAAGCCGTCTGGTGCTTTTGGCTCTCAGCTCCAATTTCTTTTTATTGTATTATGGCTTTAAAAACATTAAAATTAGAATGTACCCTTCTATCAGATTTATTAGATAAAAGACAATTTAAAAGAAGAACTTGTATGTATATTATCGTGACAATATCATAGTGTTGGGCTGTAATTTTTCATTGTCATATAATTTAAAAAATTAGGTTTGCATTCAGCTAATTGGGGCCTATGCATTTCATATCTGGTCTTGACTTTCATCTAACTCTGTTGTTCTGATTAATAAAGGACAGGTGTATGGTTGACAGTGGGATTTGAAAATTACATCCCAATAATGTACAATTAAAATATTCTACATCAGGGGTAGCCAACAAGTCGATCATGAAGCCAATTTTGGTTGATTGCGCGCAATGTCTTGACCTTATGTGTTACACTTGTAACCAAACGCAGCGTGTGAACGTAACGTGCAAATGCAACTGTAGTGATATCGGATTTCCGCGTCCTCCCTCAGATGCGGTTTTGTCAGTCCATGTGCAATCCATTTGTGTACAGTTGTAAAAGGGGAATAAGAAATGTAGACAAAAGGTCATAAAACCAAAAAAAAGAAAGGCAGTTAGAGGGACAGAGAGAGTAGGTCGGGAATGGTAGAGAAAGGAAGGGTGAAGTGGTGGTCCCGAAAGTGACAAATTTTTCTTTTGTTTAAAATGTAAGTACCTTTTCTTCACATTTTAAATTAAATTGTGGCGTTTCTTACCGATCTAAACATAGTATGTATTTCACACCTCCCCCTTGCCACTTTGACCATGCCTATGACAGCAAGTCAGTCGTGACACATTTTTAAGATAAAAAGTAGACCTTATTTACACAAAAGTTGGCCACCCATTCTACTTGAATACATGTAAAAGCTGCTTAATTATTGATGAAGACAATAATTATATGTTTAATTTTTAAGAGTTGGGGTAGGTAGAAGTTTCCTGTAGCTTGCTGAAGGCCATTTGGTGAATTCATTAGACTATGGGAGATTGCAACTTCACATATAAGACAGGTTTTCTTTTACAAAAGTTGCATCTTATGATATATGTTTAAACTATCATATTTAATAAGCAATAGTTCTCAAACTGTGGGTTTTGCTTTCCTAATATTGCTTCCATTTATTTGTTTTCTATAAAAAAGGGTCTCATATTAATGAGACCCTTTTTACAGAAAACAAATAAATGGTCAATATTATTATTTAGTTTTGATTATATACTTGATTTATTTTTGACTACATGTACTTGATGTTCTATCCAAGGTTTCAGTATAATGTAGTATTTAAAATGTTTACAATTTCTATGATTATTTCATTGACATTATTATGGCAAGAATTATAATTGTGGTTATGACTACAGTGTAGTCATTAAATCATCAACATTTTATTCAGTGGTTTATATCTGTGCTATTTTACTTTTGTTCAAAAGTAATCTACTTTAGAGGAGAAAATTAATCTTTGGAGAATCTTGAATTGCTTTAGAATTTTTCAGAAAAATTTGGGTTAAAGTAATTACCACTTTACAATTAAAGTATAGTCTTTACTTAACAAGTCATTTGACTAAATAAAAACCTTTATTATTTAACATTAATGTCAAATTACTTGTGAATTTTTTCCTAGGAAATTAATTTTGTTTTGAAAAGTCTGGCCATTGTTCCATAAAAAAATATAACAAATTAATAAATTACCATTTTAAAATAAACTATTTTCATATTTTAATCAAATTTATATCTTTAGCAAATAAACTTGACATTAGTGTTTGTTTTTCTTGTAATGCACTACTACTGACGAGTTCCGATTACACAGGTCTGCAAGTAAAAAACTGCGTAGGATTTTTATACATTTTCTTACAGATTTCAACTTGATAAAAACGAAAAAAAATACCAAAAAAGTTCCATCTTGTCAATTTTTTTTGTTACACTCAAGTTTTTGTTTATATTTAGTGTAAAATTCCTAGTTAACTTAAAATTTAGTAATTATTTTTTTTATTTTTTTATTTTTAAATGGCCTTAAAATGAAGACTTCTCACATTAATTCTATCAATTATCGCTGGACTTTGTAATAAATAAATAAAAATGTTAATGGTTGAAGAGATAGTGGTAGAGGAAGGTGGGTTAAGTAGTTTTAGCGTTAGGAGGAAGGTCGCATGATCACACAGAAATGGGTTAAAAGTTGATAGTGAGTAATAATATTGGTGAGGTTGAGCGTGTTTTGACATGCTATCTGGGATACTAGGAATAAATATAAACAACCCGCTGTTGGATTAGATTGTGTTTCGACAAGCTAAATAAGTTCAGTATCTCTCTGGCCATCTAATGCCACACTCAGTTTATATCCAGCATTTGAATGCTACTGTGCTTGTATTTTTATTTCTGAAATATGGCTCGCAGAGGTTGCGTAATTTCTCCCAACAGCTTCTGTTATGTTTGTGGTGAATACGCAGTGAAAAGTCAACAAAGAAACATAAGTGAGTTTGTGAAAAAAGTTTAATTTGAATATTTCAAATTGAAACTTGGCAATTGAGACAAAGCAGATTTTTGGAAACAATGGGGAAAAGGAAAAAGAAGCATGGGACTCTTTCAAGAATGTAGTGCATAAGTTTTAGGGGAATACTAAGGACTCCGACTGGGAATACTAAGGAATCTGACCATTGTACAATGCATACTGGCAGTAGCATATGAAGCTCGAGGATGCAAGATGAGCTTAAAAGTTCATTTCTTACACTCCAATATTGACTATTTTTTCCAAAAACTTGGGAGCCTACAATGAAGAACATGGTGAAAGATTTCACCAGGATGTCCGTGATATCGAGAGTCGTTACCAAGGAAAATGGGATGTCAATACATTAGTTGACAACTGTTGGATGCTCAATCAAGAAACCAGAGAAGGAAATCAGAAATGAGTTTGGAGAAGCATCAAAAAGAAGAAGAAAAGGTTTCATAAGAAAAAAGAGTAGACCTAAAATTGTGTATAAATATCAGAAATAATTTGTTGATTAGTTGTAAGAAAATATAATATATTTAGTTCATTGTAATAAATAAGAGTTTTTATAAAAAATTTGTTTCTATTTTGCAAAAAACCTTTACGTGATAGGATGTAACGGAAGTTATTTTTAGATTAAAGATCACAAATTAATCTGTGATCTTTAAAACATATAATTCAGCAAAAATATTCCATGCAGCTGGAAAAAATTTTTTTTTGCAGACCTGTGTTATCTATGAATTTTTTTTTAAATTTTAAAGTTTTTGATAAACATTATATTGTTTCGGATTCTGCATTGGAGACGTAACAGATGAATAACTTTTGGTAATAAAAATATATAGCAAATTTTGTTTATATATTTCCTACTTCCTACTTCTATGATTTGGTAATTATTTTTCTCTCTGATTTTTATTCTATGTATTTCAAATAAAGTGAGTCATCAGTAAGGAAAATATTTTTAAATTCTTAGTAATATCTATCCTATAAGGTTTTCTATATTTTCTAATTATTTAGAGAACTGTCTGTGCATTAGATGTTTTTCAATTTTGTATAAAACAGATATATATAATATTAGTGTCTTTAATAATATAGTTAGAAATGATAATTATGGCTTATACTTATTGTACGATTTGTTTAATTTAAATGTGATACAAAGTCTGCCTTTAAAATTTAAACAATTCACGACTTTGTGTCCTCTACCTTGCAAAATGTTAATAAATTTGTTTAATAATTAATGATACGTATAAAAAAGTAATATTGTCGGAAATAATGTGACAAAATACTTTTACTACCAGTAAAACTAGTTTTTTGTCAGTTTTCATATAAATTAACTAAAAATAATCATACGGATATCAGATAAGGTAATTAACTGCTGTCCAAGTTTGTGTTTTGTAGTATAGGAAATCTTATTATTTGAATTTATTGAATGAAAGTAACAATAAATTGTGTTTTTTTTTTGGATACTAAATGAATATATTTTATGTAATGTATGCAGATTGCGAAACATTTGATAATGTGTTGAGTAAGAAAACAATGTCTTGGGTCGTAACTTTTGTACGATGAAATATATCTTGCAATTAATGATTATTTATAAAATGCTTGTATTTTCTTACTCTTTTTTGTTTATTCATTAACAAACTCAAAAAATAATGCACTTGCTGCTAATATAAAGAATTGTACAGACTTCCTTATTGCAGGTTATTTATAATAAATAAATGAATTTGTTTTTTTGTTAATATTTTCCAGAAAAATATATGTATACTTGTATAACAAATGATCTGCTGGATGTTTTATTGATTAATTTTTATAACTTGATAAAAAGTATTAAAATGAAATCAATTTTTTAAATTTATATAATAATTATTAAATTTATTGTCAGAGAGTGGCTTAACCTGTAGCAAAAGTGCGTTATTTTGGATTATTAATTAACCTTAATGTAATGTGATAAAAATCTGTCAGATCACTTGGTATTAACTTATATTCAGAAATTCTGATAAGAGTTTCTGATGAAAGTTTAGCAACAGGAAAAAACGAAGTTCCAACAACAGATTATAAGAAAAGTCTGTTGAGAGTCAAATCATTTTTGCAATATTCTTGTCAAAATACAAGCTTAAATTTTGCAAAGTAGGCAATTTATTAAATTTTTATTGTTGGGGATTGAAAACTAGTTTTACTTTTTACTATTAAAATGAAATTTTCCCTAAAATTTTTTCAAGTACAGAAGAAAAATTTATTTTTAAAGAAAGTGCACAGTAAAAGAAATTCATCTGATATCATTTTTATTCTGTCCTATATTTTTGTGTATTTTGTGTGTGTGTGTGTGTGTGTGTCATTAGGGAATTACATTGTAATATTATCAGAATATAATGTTAAATATGCAGCTAATATTTTATTTATTTAAAATAATAGAATTTTTTTTCCATAGGAAGGAGAGATCAGGAAAGAAACTGTGGTTATTGTATTGTATAAACATCATAAAGCACAAAATGATTATACAAGTTGGTTCTATCCACAGGCTCATTAACTCTATCATGGAAGGTATTAGAGCTTGTCCTGCTTATCTCTTCATTTTGGACTTTGAACTTTTACCAGGATTTGGGTCATAGTGTACAGAAATTGCAAACGACAATTTTATTCTATAAGTTATATTTTAATACGTTTCCGGCGGAAGAGCGATCGGCGCGGCCGGACCGTCTTTTGGAAATCTGTCACTTACGGGAAAGTATTTTCTATTCTGTTTGTCTCCAGTTTTAAGTTAAAAAAAATTTAGAGCGTAAGCATTTAATTAGTCTGTGATGTAATCTAATAAATACTTGTAAATATAAAATGTCTTGGATAATGTAGGTCGAAACTGTAAATATGTCCGCCGTCATACGGCGTTCATAAAAATCAACTTTATATTAATCACAAGATTCTTCAGAATTCGTTCAATAAAACATAATGGACCAACCATATTATAATCTTCTGTTTGAAAAATATGGGTAGGGGAAAGTCTTTGTACATCTTTCAGCAGCCTCTCCCTTTGCACGTTACAATTTATTTTGTTCTTTTTTTAAGTACACCTCTGTTCCCATCGTATTTCTTTGTTTAGATACGAGGGGAACAGAGGAGGCTACATTCGTCTAATGTTTTGGTTAGTCCATATGGAAATAGTATTTATTACACCAAAATTTCCATTGTAAAATATTAAATTCTGATTAAAATCATATATGAAAGGTGGGAGTATGCAAGTTAGTATCAATAATGTATTCTCACAGAAACAGAACATTGTTTTAATTCTCTTAAAATAACATTTAGATGTTTAGTGACATTAAATTTCATAACATTATTTTCAATGCATGTATCAAATATTAAATAAAAAAGTAATCCTTCAACTAAAAATTTTAATTTTAACCATTAGATATAAAAGTTTCTTCATAAAATATACATTGGTTAAAATTACTTTACATAATTACATACAATTGTGATACATATAACATTGTAATTATATAAGCATTTACAGGTAACCCCGTATAACACGGCACTTCTATAGCACGGATTCACTCTAACACGGTTCGAAAATTGGTACCATCCCCCGTATAACACGGTACTTTTATAGCACGGATTCACTCTGACACAGTTCGAGAATTGGGTAAAACCCTCGTACAACAGGAAATGTAATAAATTTTTACATACTTAATTAATAATAGTTCACAAAAATTATTATTTTCGTGAACTATTAGTACTTAAGTATGTAAATTTTCTCTTCTCGCCTTCTGTCGATACACGTGGTCCTTCTCGAAACTTGTTTCAATGTTGCCAGATCGCGACGCTTCTGCTTCTGATGTCGCCGAATGTTTTTCCCTTATTCCATACTTACTTTATTCTTCATAAGTGCTTAGCACCATATAAGGAAATTTATAAAGACCTTTTAACTAGAAGCAAGCAATCTAAAATTACATACATTTTGCAAAAGGTAAGGCATGGATCTGAAGATAATGCAGAAAAATGCTCAGAGGATAAGAATAACTTGCCAAAAAGAAAACGCTCTCAGTTAATTAATAGGGTTTTTAGCGATAACGAAGAAAACATTGTTTAATTTATATTAATATGTATCACTTAAAAAAATTTTAATGAAGATATTTATCTTAATTATGAAAATATAGTAGCATGTTTTTTAATTTTTGGAACCTAACCCTCCTTTTCGTATTAGTTCTTTGTTTCGTATAACACGGATTCGCATAACACGACAATTTTTTGGAACGTAACTACCGTGTTATATGGGGGTTACCTGTATTACAAATATTTAAAATGTACTAATAGTAACATTTTCTTCAACTTCTATTTGAGAATGTGTGAAGTTATTCATTTTGTCATAAATGATATTTTGTGTTTAAAACTTGTATAACATGAAGGTGGAATACATAATAATGCTAACTCGCTGCACATCTGTACATATATTTTTCATTGCAGTTTACATTATTTAATCAGTTGTGCATTTACTGCTAATGAGCTGCAATTATTAAATTAAAATTGTAAGATGACACCAAATATCGAGAGTTAAATTTTAAATTTCAAATTTACCTTTCCGCCTAGCTCGGCCGGGAGATCTTTTTCATCTATAAATTCCATAATGCTCGTTTTGTCGACAAATTTTATCATGTCCACTACGTATTTGGGCAACCAAGATTTGACAAGGGACCAAATTGCTAAAGAGAATTCGAGTATAACAACAAAAATATATTTCAGAAAAATAAACTTGAATGTAACGCTTACCGGATAATATCCATGGCATGTTATACACCAAAAAGAAACCTGTAAGTAGATACTTAAATGTTTTTTTGAATTCTTATTTTTCACAGTTTTGATTTAATTTTACTTACCTAAAGTTTTTGGATAGTGATATGTGAAGAGTTGTTTACTAAATCTGACTATGTCCAAATTCTGAAAGATACCTTTGGGGTCAGTATATGTCACATTAATACTTTTGGTACTTTCAAAAATCGGTTACACTTACGGCATTTTTTAGGCCCGCACCAGTACAGTCGATAAAAACGCTTATTCCGGCTCCTTTATTTTCAGTTACTATTTTCTCCACCCAGTACACCATGAATTTCTCCAATACCTCCTCCTCGCCCGGTTCGGTCTTTCTCAAGTTTTTAACTTTGATATGTACTAAATTAAGACAATCGAACTGTTATTAACTTCAAATAACAAAGATAACTAACTCAAACTTTCAAACTTTATCTTTAATTTAATAGACATAACAAACTAGCTGAATAAGCAAAATATCAATTAGTCATTCTGTAATGGATCAGGGTGACAGCCGATCCAAGTTCTACACAAAACAGGGCCCAACTGGAATTCTAGTTTGACACAGATAAATCAGTGCATCTATGGTGGGTTTCATTAATCTTAACCGAACAAAGACAATGCAAATTACAAATGGCACGTTAGAAGGCCACGTTAATATCTGTAAGATGAAGAGTTAAAGTACTTACTAAAAGCTAATTCTGATGTAATTGTTAAAGAAATAGTTAACAGAAAACTAAATGGAAGAATACTAGTGACTTACACACAGTCCTCCCCCATTTGTCTTTGCTGCAAGAATGTACACAGTCCCTCTGGAATAGTTCTTGAGGTAGCATATGCTCTGTTATTTCTAATCAAAAAGGAAAGTTGGTTATTTAAAGATAATAGTACTATTAATGTTAGAAGAACTTTCCTACCTTTCACTCCAAATTCTTTCCTCCATTTTATTTCCTCCTTAGCCATGTTAACACCCTTTTCTACCGATTTCCTTTGATGTAGGATGAATTTCTGGCAGTACAAGTCATCAGTTTTTAGACGTTGAATGTCGTCTTTATAGTAGCAATCTACGAAACGACATTTTAGAGACGTCCTCAAAAACCACAACTCTTATGAACTAAATACAGTTTTAATTGATGAAAATAGAAGAATTTGGGAGGTTTATTTTGGTCAAGAAAGTCAAACATTTTAGAGTTTCTTCGATCTCAGCATTTGCCAATAAACTTTTAAAAGTGGGTACGAAGTCCAAAATTATAGATAAAAACTTACCCGCATTTTCGTCGATTTCGGAAAATAACTTGTCACGAAATTCAGCGATCTGTTCGTAGTTCAGTGACATTTCTTTCTCCATCCACAAGAGGAAAATAAACCGCTACTCCCCGGGTAACTTTCGTTAATACTTTCTATTGTGATCACGTGACACCCAGTCGCTGGATTAGCCGTCACGTGACCTATTCGTCACCTACCCGAGCGTGACGAACTACATCTCTACGTTACGTCACACGGCGGTTGTTACTCCTAACCCAGCAATTTAAAGGAAAATTCCCTGAACGAAACCTGTTCGTTTTTTTATTATTTACTCAGATTCCCCGCCCGTCAAATTCCAAACATCTCCATATGTATTTCTAAGAATCTATGTTTTTATCTTCCTCATCTCTACTTTTTCGACCTGGTTTTTATGTGATTATATTTTTGTATCGGGCCTCGTCCCACAACCTGTTTGTTTAAATATAACTATATCTAATTTATTCACTAGGAAGTTGTACAATTAAGTTTATATAAGATTGTAGGAAAGATCTTAAAATAGTACATTGTTTTAAAAATGCACAAAATAGAAAAAAAAAACCCAAATAACCGCTTAAAAAGAGAAGTTCACTAAAAGTAAAGGAATACTGTATTAGAAATTTTCTTTCTTTTAAGGACTTTCTTAGTCGAGAATTTCAGTAAAATTTTAGGGAATTTAGGGAAATTTCTTCAAGTAAAAAAATCCTTCAGATACGATAAATTCAAGAAATTTACAGTAAAAGTATAATGTTGGTGAAATTTCTCCATAAAATATCTGAACTGATTTTTCCCCCTAATTCTCCCCACATAAGAAACAATTTATGATGCTTCTATATATATCTTAAAAGAGGGATTTCAAACTAACTTCCTCGAGCTATAAACTGAGATTACAAATTTGCAAAACGTGTCTGAAAGAATGACGTAAAAACGGTCTGTTTGTTCTAACAAGTCCGCGAGAAGTAATTAAATTCGAATTATACAAAATAATGATCATTTTTCATACATTTAAAAATTTTTTCCTGTATTTTAACAATTATATTTCACACTTTCCTTATTCTGTTTATCCTCCATCGCCTAACACCAGAATTCGTTTTTAAGGAAAGTTTTATTCCCGTTTGATTCGAGAATGATACTACTCGGCGACTTTTTTAATCGTTCGGGGCGCCGCCTATATAGGATAATGAATTTGTACAGTACTAGAATCGCCGCGCGACATCGCGTCTCGTGTAGCTATTTCTCTCGCGAGTCGCATCGCTTTGTAGATTCGTACAAAATCCGATTATTTCGGTAGCATTTTTTCGTTGCGAGTGATAGAAGCGAGAAAGCAATTAATGGATGGCAACTTATTATTGTAGCCTGCGGCATTAACTTTTTTAGAAAGAATTTAAGAATTTTTACCACCCATTTTGATATTTCGTGAGCCTGGAGCGCATTACGCGAACATTACCTAGATTTTCATCCGGCTTTGGGCTACCCGTTTCTAAAATCGCCCAATCGAGGCGAATAATTCAATTTAGTGCCGGGATCGGATCGATAGATCTAATTTGGAACCGACCGTGCTGGTCTCTAAATCCATTTATCAAGCGTGACGCCTTAATCTCGCGATATTATCGGTTCCATTAATCTTACATTTAATCCTCGAGATATTTTTAAGTTTAATGGAGCGCCTAGTACTAAACTTTTCCCAGATGGGCCATTTATAGAGCTCTTTGGCCGTCCTTAATTCCATTTCTTAGAATGAAACCTCCCATGATTTTTTGCGAATGAGTAGGCAAATTTAGCCGTAAAATGCGTTAAAATTCCCATCAATCGTTACCCTTTTTTGTCACGAGAAAAACACGTATTCGACGATTGTCCTCACCGAGAATCAGTTATAACACTCAACCTATAAAAAGAAATAATTTCGAAAACGTGCAACGAAGATATGGAAATCTCGCTGGATTTCTAGATCTAGTCCTCGTGCTTATAATTATAAACATCACGTTTAAACTTTTTAAAACAATTGTGATATATTTAGAAAAAAGATCTCCCCTTTCATCAAACATACCAGGAATACACGGTTGCATTCGGCAATCTAGTGCGTTCGTACATGTACTGTACATTGTCAGTCATTTGGAAAATTGTAGACATCCTTCCCTATCTGCCTAGAGCAAATTATACTTTCATTTTTAATAGTACGTTTTGCTTAAGACTGGCACTTTAGAATTCTTCATTTTGATATTCGGTGTGATTTCGTTTTACAAATATGTACCGTGCAGCCAAAGCCTTTTTTTGTATACAGAAATGTCTACTACTAATTAACACACGCGAACTATTTTCACCCCAAGATTAACCAACAAAGGACTCGCTTTCCGAACGATCCTATCACGCGATATTAACAATAATTACGCACTTTATTGGAACAAAACGATCGGACTATCGCAAGTTATTCGGCCATTTTAGCCGACGTCATTTCTAGTATTGAAGACTAACTTGACGGTAACTAAATTAATTATTAGCCTTTCGTGTAAATACAAAACTCTGCTTAAAAGTACAATTTCGAATACGACAGAAATTCCTTTGTGTTTTAATTCGGAAAGCGCCGCCTCCGGCAGTTTCGTACACTGGTAAGAAGACATCGGCAGTAATTTTCTTTCTACGGAACTGTAATTTAGATCGAAGGACATCTTGCGCAATTCCAAATGGAAATTTGCGAAACGTCGTAAGAATTACGAAACATCTTTTCGGGAATTACGAATGCTTGGAACGAGCGGGCGACAAAAGCAGTTTTGCAGGATTAGGTCCCGTTTACGAACGCTAAATTTAAATCGAGTAAGCGACATGGAGGATTAAGGGACGATTTGGCCGATTAAATTTGCTTCACAACGACTCCAACTCCAAAATCGGCTCAGCACATTTTGCTTCAAAGTTAGAAACTTCGTCCGAGAGAAAAAACGTCGTTACATGCTACGTAATCGAACTTCGGAAACTTTTTGTTGGCCGATGTCGATTCAAAAGATTGCGTGATCTAACAGCCATTTAAACGGAAAAAAATCTCTCGAGTTCGTGATTTACGTAAGTTACGAGGAAAACCGGTCTGTCGGTCAAAATTTGTTAGCGAAGCACGTGTTTTCCACGTTGTCCTCGAAAGCGAGGTAAAGGTCGGCTCGAAACATTTAGAATTAATTAATGTCACGTATGTCGATATCGAGGTAAGAATGTAGTTTCTTACCAATTCTGAAAATTGAATACGACCGATTTCCATTACTTCCCTTGTTACGTATACGTAACGAGGGAAAGTAATGGAAGCGCGTCAAATTTGACTCACCGCGTTTTTTGCCAATCTCCCCGTTTTTGAGACCTGCACCTAAAAAAGTAAAATATTTTAAACAGGAGACCTTAACCACCAAAATTTATCTCCAGTAGGGTCAGACTTGAGTAAAATCGTCATTAACATTTATATATATATAAATGGACGTGTGTGTCCCTATATTTCACTTTTCCGTCAAAACTACACATCGCACGTGAATGGTGTTTGTATGTGGTAGTAGCCCCAGTCTCCATTCGTGCACTATGGTGGTTGCGTCTCGATAGCTATAAGGGTGCGGGAGATATGGGCTTGAAAGTGGAAGATTTTCTATTTCGATTTTAAAAATTTTCGAATTCGAATTGATTCGATTATAGAACGATTGTAAACGTTCCAGAAAATTGATCAAATTGAAAATAGTTCGTTTGACTAAAAGTAAAAATTCTATAATTAGTCTGGAAACGGGGGACCTAATTCTTGCATTTTCTGAAAACGGGTAAGATTGGCTATAATGTAATTATCTTAATCTTCACTATCGTTACTTCTTAAAAACCCAGCGAAGCGGGTCCTTGCAGCTAGTACTTTTTATAAAATTCCTCCCTCCCTCGAAATTAAGTTTTTTATATTTTTAATTACTATAAAATGGTTACAATTTTGAAGATTTTAAAATAGTTATGGTGCAAACTGTTATAATTTAAGTTTTCTAAATATCTCATAATAGCCAGAAAAGTTGTGCGACTCGTTGCTACCCGCGAGGAATTTAAAAAAATACGCAAAAATTGCGAAAATTATTGACGTTAAAAATTTCTCGGTGTAGTTTGTGATGCCGAATGACACCGTTCGTCGAAGCCACTTGTGGAGTCACGTGGACTGTTCTTCGAAATTGGTTACGGCGGTAAAGATCTTTGGTGCGGTCTTTGCGGGAGGCACCCGGACTATTTGGCAGATTTTCTTTTGCCGGTCGAATAGTATGTGCCCGGTTTTTCTGAATGATGTGGTTGCTGTTTTGCCTTTGGTGGAATTTCCTTTGTGGAAAAAACTGAAGCTTTGTATTGCCATTTGGCTTCGTACGGGCAGACGGATGTTTTGCCTATTTGCAAATTTTTCGGTCGTTTCGCAGCAATATTCCGAACGAACCTCCTTTTTTCCTCGGAGAATGTGGCACCCATAATCACGCGAAACGGGTCGTAATCGAACTATTTTGTATGCTGCTGCCGATCCGATCTACTTTCTCTAGCCAGAGGCCGGCTTTGTTTTTCGGGCCTATTATAACGTGTCAGAATTTGCTAAACCAAATATGCGTGACCGTGATGCATTATTGTCCGGAAATGCTTGCTGCAAATGCACGAGACGCCTGGCCACGTGTATTTGAACTTTGTCCCGAAAATGTTCACGAGTTACCCTATTACTTCTTTGAGTCAAAACGGTGCCTAGGTTCGACTCCGGGTCGGCTCGATCGTCATTAATGCATTTGAACCTGACATCAGGCAGTGGAATTCTCCAAACCTGCAAACAAGATTAAAAGCCCTTGACACTTGGATGAAAGTTTAGATTTAAAAATGAGTTGAAAGTGAAAGTATTGCTACAGTGTATTATTTGTGATAATGCAGTATAGCAATACTTGCTTTGTGTTAGAGGTCCTACATAAAGCAAGTTTTTCTGTACTAAGGATCTGCAACATGATGGTGCTGAAATTGAGTGCTTTTCCTTTGATTCATTAATATACACACTTTCAGAGGACTAATCAAAAATATCCAGGAATTATTTATAGTGAATCTACAAATAGCAGCAATATGGCACCTATGGAGGATATTTGACAGTTTCTTCCAACTCCACCGCTCTGGCGTGTGGAGTCGGGAGAAACGGTTGGTCGAACGTAATCACCAACGATCGTGTCTGCGACTATGTTCAACTTATCCTTTTCACAAAATGTGTTTGTATCAAGTTTTGCCAAAAGCTTGATAAGATGGCCACCAAAACGTATAAAGTGCTTTAACAAGCATTTGGTGACATGAAGTCAAATATTCCACTCTGTCACCCTACATCTGTGTTTCAAATTTATTGCACTTCAATTGACGATGACTCGTGGAGGTCGATCGACGGTGTCTACAGAACCAATATGCAGTGTTTTGGAGAAGCAATTTATGGGAAAGTTCCTCACAAATGGTCTTCTGCACCAGAACACTAGGTGTGCCTACCAGTGGCCGAGCAGTCTTCGTACACCGAACACTGGGAGTTTGGTTGTGGGTTCATGCCTCGCTCGAACGGGCTGGCCACATGCAGTTTTCCAGGTTTTCTCCATGTCTGTAATGCCTAAATAGGGGCCAGTTTCCCTTAAAAAGACCTCCTGGAAGGCATCCCCCTAAGCAGATCACCCAAGTGTTGCGTTGCCATAACTAAAACAAACCAGAACATTAGTGTGCCTACAACTGAGTGTCATGAAATTTTTGGCCATACATGGCACCCTGTAGTCCCCTCACCTGCCTTACTAGATTTGGGATTCTTAGACCTTTGAGTAAGAGAATAATAATAATAAATTGTTTTGTACCACCCACAGCTGTTGTATCTGTGCAGTCTTATTATAAACTCGTGGAAATGTGGGAAGATTTCTGCATACAATCTGTAGAGTCTAACTAACTAGTAATTGCTTTTTTATCATAAATTTTATTGTGGAGAATTTTCATTGACCCTTATAGAGCTGTCATATTCCATCCTCATTAGAGTAGCGAAATAGGTAATTACCAATTTTGCAAAGGGTAGAAATCATTAAAAAACTTGGCGTATGCACCGTCATCTTTATTACAACAATTCTGAAAGATCTCGTCTTTGTGACACTCACGAGATACAAATATTAGAAATGCCGGGTCGACAATCGATCCGACTGCAAAAGGAAATCTGGCAATTAAATACAGACTGCGTGAACCAAAAATAAACTATTTTTATTTCGTAAAACAATGATAGTTTATCATCGTCGATGGTCGTTGATCCCGAATACTATATCGTTGCAATAAAATAGTTCAATAAATAGGCTTTATATCACTTTTGGTGCGTGCGAAGCACTTTCGGACAGAAGAGTAGAATCGAAAGTCCGAGACGGGTTTCTGTGATGGAAGAACGGAGTCTTGGGCAAGAAGTTTGGCATTTTGGATTTCGACGGTCCAAAATTAAGTTCTCGTGGAGCGTGCTTAATCGGAGTATTTAATTGTTAGGATTATAATTAAGGATATTTTATGAAACTAGGGTCGATATTTATTTACAACTGCCAGGCACGACCGAATTGAGACGATTAAATTAATTAGGTCTTTCGGAGTCTTTCATAATCCGCTTCCTCAGATGCGCTTTGTAACTGTGGATGTCGCCGGACCATTTGGTGATAGTCTGTTTTTCGCAGACCCAGATCTCCTCGGCCACCTAAGACATAGTCGAAGTCAGTTATTTTTATAAAATAGACGCGAAACCCCATGACCGTCAACGACACTCACCTGACTAATCAGTCGAAAATCGTGACTGACCAGCACCATTCCTCCTTCAAAGTCGTTAATGGCGTCCGCCAAAGCGTCTATGGTTTCCATATCGAGATGGTTCGTCGGTTCGTCCAGAAGTAACAAATGAGGCGCCTGCCACGCCAACCACGCAAAAACCACCCTGCACCTCTGTCCGTCGGAAAGCTGACGAATGGGACATATCTGTTGTCTTCCAGTGAGTCCAAATCTCCCAATAATTTTTCTCATTTCTTCCTTCTCTTTGATCTCGGGAAAAGACTGCATCATGTAATCCAATGCTGTTATGTCTAAATCAAGTTGTTCATGTAGATGCTGGAAAGATTAAAAGAAAGAGTTAACAAAGATAAATGCAAACAATTTTGCAAGTGCATAACACATTTCACTAAAAGTTAAACTCTATCCAAGCAATTACATAATTCCAGAGAATGAGTGAAACATCACCTATATGCTGATAATCTTTTTTTTAGCATCTGATCTTTGTTTCGTATATCACAACATTTAAAGGTCAACATTGATGAAATATGATATGAACTGTTTCATTCTGACAGATACTTCTGAAATTTGTTTCAAGGAATAATATACTAACTGTTAAGTTAATGGAATATGCACTAAACTAAACTTAATGATCTCCAAGAAAAGATTTTACTGATATGTTGACACGTGCAGAAATACAGGTTATGAGACTTGTTTGAATCATATGGAACATTATAATAATGAAGATGAATGCATTCTGCACCAAATTGTTACAATGGACATAACGCCATTCTTTGGATTGACATTTCAGTTCTGGCTCCTACGTGTGTGACCAAGTTATCTCGCATCACCAAGACCAACAAATTCTTGGTTACTGTTGCTTCTCAGTAACATACCACAAACTTATCATTTGTTCCTACAGAATTGCCTAATGCTGAGTAACCTGCACAACAGTACCATCTCATAGGTTGTGTTTATTAATAGCAAATACTCTGCGTAACCACCACCACAGGCACGTGCTTTTGTTTGTACACATTTGAGAATGACTGTGAATAAAGTACTATCGACAGTACCATGATTGCAAGGTGTATGATTTTAAAATATCCAGTTTTGGAGACAAAAGTATGAAAGGATTCAAACTGTAAAATTTAACCATCAAATGGATTGTCTTGCTGTCAGAACATCTAAATATATAAAATTGCTTGTCCTGACTGACTGACTCACTGACTGATTCATCATTGCCCAGAGCAAACCGTTTAACCTAGAGAGGTGAAATTTGGTAGACAGTTAGGGTACGTCATGGAAACGCACACTAAGAAGGGATTTTTCGAAATTCCCTCGCAAGGGGGAGAGGGAGAGGATTAAGGCTTAACCAGAAAAACGGCCTCTACTGTGCTATTTTAGTTGCGATATTTTGTTTTTATCTGCATTGTGGTAGGGTATGCCATGGCAATGCACACTAAGAAGGGATTTTTCGAAATTCCACAGCGAGGGGGAGAGGGAGATCATTAAGGCTTAACAGGAAGAACGGCTTCTACTGTACTATTTTACATGCAATTTTTTGTTACATTTAGTCTTTATTAAGTACTTAAGTGTAATAAATTAATAACATTTCAGACATTGTTATAAATATTTTTATCTATTTCGATTTTAAAAATGTTTGAACCGTTGTAAATTTGAATTTGTTATTGCATATTGGTTCGAATATAGAACAATTGTAAACATTCCAGAAAATTGATCAAATTGAAAATGGTTTGTTTGATTCTCAGCAATTCTCGGCGGTAGGTGTTATATAACAATTATTATGGTTGTTGAAATACTGAATATAAATGGGGTTTGCAGGTAACAGCTAGTTCAAAATAAACATGAAAAAATTAGAATGCTGGTTACCATTTTAAAAAATTCAAGATGACATCAACATTACTGCATGCATTAACATTTGCTTTCACAAATTTTCATTCTTAATTTCATTACAGTGTCTGTTATACAGTTTTATTCAAGTCATAAAGATGCTGTGTTGCTTTCCACTGTAAACTACTACTACAAGCAGCCATTCTTGCATTCCACAGGAATGTTTAAATGGAGCTTGGACTATTGCAACAGAATAAAAGAATGTACCTTTATACTGCATAACATGTTTAATCACAATAAATAGGGTTGGGAGATCTTGAATTATCCTCCTTATTTATTGGATCTCAGTCCATTTGACCTTTTCTCAAATGTCAAGTAAGGCTTGCAAGACCAGACATTTGCTAACAGAAATGATTTAATAAATGTTTGGTAGTTATTTTGATAGAGAAAATGCACAGAATATGCAGGATACTGAGAAGTAATTCAGTGTCCCACAAATTCAGAGTTAATTGTAACTGATTTCCAGATACCAAATAACTATTAAAATTCATAGTATCACTAAGGAAAATATTCACTAATTGCACCATATAAAACATCACACATACAAGAGTAAAATCTCAGTTGTGGACTGTCTAGTATTTTTATTAAAAAAATTTAAATTTACCTGGTGGTATCGGGCAATCCGAACGTGAGAATGTTTCCGAATCAGTCCGTCGCTAGGAACCACCTGTAAACATCATCTTTAATAAATCGAATTGCAGCAAGTCTCTTAAAAATTATCAAGAAAATCACCTCTCCACTTAGTAACTTTAACAGAGTGGACTTTCCTGCTCCATTGGGGCCCACCAGAGCAATTCTAGAGTCGAGATCTACTCCAAATTCTAAATTTTTATAAATCAGAGGCTGCAATAAAGTAGAAAAAGTTCAGACATGAGATACAAATATAAAATTACTTCACAGAATAAAACACTCACCCCATTTTCACTGTATTTAAATGACACATTTTGCACCATAATGACGGGAGGAGGAATCGTTCCGCAAGAAGGAAAATAAAATTGAACAATCTGAAATAATTTTAAACATTTGCATGAAACTCCCCACGGGCTTAAAGGCGACGTCCAAAAACCAACATTTTACCTTGTCGGACAACACTTTTTCCGTCAGACCGCCGGCTATCATTTTGTTCATTGTTTTTTCTTTGCTCTGGGCCTGTCTTGCCAGTTTTGCACTTCCGTGACCAAATCTTGCAATGTAATCCTAAATTATTTCAATTTAAAAAAGTTTAATTAAGTCGTATTGAATATTACTAAATTTAATTATTAATGCTTGCAAGATCTTTCAAAAGAAATTCAAAAATATAAGAAAAGAATATGCTGCATTACATCTAAATGTTTCTAGATCAATACGTCAAAAACATTTTATCTCCAACCAACATCAGAAATCTCACCACAATGTTCATATGATAGCCACATCCAACTTTGATTTTAAAAACGGAAGGTATTATTTAATACACCACTTAAAAACTGGGTATACTTGAACTGAAGCTACTAGACCTAATATCCAGCAGAAAAGTTTAGAAGTGCTAACATTTTCAACTGCAATAACACCGCTATTAATTTTCACAATGTTGACTCCTTTCCCACAGCGTGGAAGTCTTGCTTCTAACTATAAATTCCTACTATCCCTCTCCCCTCCTCTCTTCACACATGTATGACAATCCCCTATTGTTTCAGCAACTGGGGGTTTAGTTTGCCCGATGTTGTCCATTCAACATGGACAAAAATATTAGCACTTCCAAACTTCTCTGCTGGAAGGTTTCTAGGTAGCTTAAAATTATTGAGTTTTAAAAGAATAACTTAAGTAATTAATGTTAAATATATTAAGTATTCAAATTGCCAATATGTTTAATGACATCTTTCTATAATTAGAATTATTACTCTTAAGAATACAAATGACTTACACATCTCTTATCTGTTTACAAAGGAAGTGTGATTATGTGATTTTCATATCATGCCTGTCATTTGTTATCCTTAATTATAACTACATTTTCAAGCCTCCCACTTCAAATGTTAAGTGCATAACATTAGCTAAGCATTTCAAATAGGTTAAATTACAAAATTATAATATTCTTTCCAAAATACTTAAACAGTCCTTCCGTAATAACATGTCGTTATAATCAGTATGTACCAAGTTGGATATCGAAGGACTATTGTCAAGAAATGCAGGAGGATAACTTTAACATGATTTATATGTAGCGGTCTATGTAAATTTGGTCATACAAGTCTAGATTATACTACAAGTTGTAAGTTGTACTGTTATAAGCATTGTCACAAAATATTATATAACTAAATATGGATGGTTTTTTAATTTTATTAGTGCTATTGGCATAATAAAATTGAGCCAATGAGAGATTGTCCGAAATGCCTACCAAGAAAGGAATGTTGTTAATAAAGTGATGTACTAACTTCAAACTTTGTATTCTTAACAGTGTAATAACAATAGCATTCTATAGATAGATTTAAGATTATGTTTGTAGTATAATCTAGACAAGAAGCACACTATAGTATTTAATATTTTTCATCAGGGCAGTCTCCTGAAATCTGGAAATGCACTAGTTCAAAAATAAGCTGCAATTCTCTTGCGAAGATAAATTAATTAAAATTGGAAGACTTACATTACTGCAATAACAAAACAAAGCCACCATTAAATCTCAGTAACTATAGATTGTGTTAAAGAAAAACATGAAACTGGTATAACAAAAAATATTAACACCTACATATTTTTGTTAATAGGAAGAATTTACAGCAAGCAATTCATATTATTTTTACAAAACAGATTAGATTTGAATTTGGATTCTCAGAATTTATGCAGGCAATGTGATCTAAACACAACAAGCTCCCCATCTCTTGCAATCTGACTGTCCCTTATTGGACTACCACGTAGTACTGTTCAAGTATCAAAAATATATAAATACACACTTAGTTCTTTGGATAATTGTTTGATGTGTAAATTTCAATAAATGATAGTTAATAAGTTAAAAGGAGACAACATCCTTTCAAGAAAAACACACAATAAAATTGAACATTATTTAAATCTCTCATGAAAGATCACTATTTCTGATCAGATTAATTAAAATACACGCTTCTTTCTATACGCATAACATTTGTTCTGCAAGTGCGACGTTGCAAACGTTGCACGAGAACCTTCAAATTCTCGGCCAACGCATCATCATTTCAGAAGCAACTTTTGTTTTGTATTAATTTTGACATACAGTGATAATGATATAAAATTATACCACCAGTTAAATTTCTATTCTAGATACAATTATTCTTTTTCTGAAATCATCAGTATTGTCATTTTAATGAAAATATTCTAACATTATCAAATTATTTCTCACAAACCATTAAGGAAAAGACAAATAAATATGAATAAATTCACTTTGTGAGGGACTGGACTTAAAAAAAAATTTTTCAAAATAAAAAAAAACCAAAAGAATAACATTAAAACTCTTCCAAAGAAAAAAATGTTAAATGATATAATTATATCTTTCACCCAAGAGTCCCTTCCTTTCCAAGCGAATGTGTCACCAGGAACCTAAGGAAAAATCACTATTGTATGTAGAAATTAACATTACCAAAGATGGGTATGAGAAAAAAAATGGGGAGGACGCCCAAATAAAAGAGAAAATTAATGACAAAAAAGAGCTGTTTGTCATCATCAAGTGTTTGCTCCAGATTTGGATACACTGCCTATCAAATCCTTGCAACCACTTGCCATCCGCCACCAATGGCAATACCATTCTCCTACGGGACAAGTCTGCAAGCAAGTGTACGATCTCCTCAAAGGGCCTACAACTTCAGGCAATTAACGACTTGTAAACTCTCTCTCAACCCTCTAAGATAAGAGTATAATTCTCTTATCTTATACATAGGACAATCGGTCTATGTCTAATATATGTAAGCCTCTATGTTAATAAATGGTTATTAATTTTGCTAAATGAGCAGTGGAGTGCAACTTGTTTCATGTGTGCAGTCTCGGACCTCCTCCATCCCAAATCTGACCTTATACAAACACAATTGCTCACATGTAAACAAGAACAAATGGTTTGTGTGTCTATCCTACAGTGGTGGCAGAGTCCTGATGCAGCATCTCAAAGTGGTGCAGAAGCATAGGGGGTGCTTCATGCATTATCATGACTTAAATGATATTTATGTTTACGATTTTCATAAACACACAAACAGAATCACCAATAAAGACAAATCGTATAAAATTAAGACAGATTTCATATAACAGACTTGAGAAATTAGCATATTCAATAACTTTGTACCAACACAAACTAATTCAGGTTGCATGTACAATAACTAACTTTTAAAGAGAATGTTTGGCCCTTGAAAAGATTTCAAGAAAACAACATGTATGTGTTGATTAATGTGGCTGAACATATACAAAATATAACCACCACAGAAGAAATAGTAATACTTTGTAATTTTTTTTTCTGTACAGGTAAAGATTTCTGAATTTGTGAGGCTGTAGCAACAAGGATGCAAATTTGCCTCATGTGACAAAGCTGCTATGTCAAAAACACAACACAAGGTGGTTTGTATAAGAAAAATTTAAATTTTGTCTAGAGTTAAAAAATTTTGTCTTCGAAAATTACCTGGCAACTGACACACTCGTTCTCAACTATAAAATACCAAAATATTTACCACCTGCCACTAGATTTTTTCATTTGCCAGCTATTGTTAGCATCACCTAAATCACAAGATAACAGGCATAATTTAAAGAAAGATGAACAATGTGTATATATATACAAATCTTTGTAAACCTACGTACAGATTATAAATTTAATATCTGGAATTAGTAATATATTTTAGTTCAGTTTAAAACTGAACTAAAATATATTACTAATTCCAGATATTGAACATTGAACAAACACAATCAAAATCACAGAAGGGAAAAAATGGGAAATAATTAATCTATGAAGACTTTGGTCTAACATATTACAAGTGACAGCATTGCCTATGAGCCATCAAATGAGAAAATAACAATAATTTTGGGTCCGTCTAAGCACATCAAGCAATCACACAGACTCAAAGGAATTTGAACAATGGATGAAAATTGATTTCATTTATATTTTCAGCTTGGCATTTATATCAAATATCACTGTATGTCATCCCAATAATTAAAAAGAAAAAAAGATAAACCTTCATATGGGCAATTTGACTTTGTTCCCATTGATATCTTTTCATTTGATTTTCTAGTAACTCCAACCTTGTCTTCACAAAAGCATCATAATTACCCTAAACAAAAAACACAGCATTAAGATTCAACAGATTACAAATATTTTCACCCAAATTTTGAAACTGAAAAAATTTTACTTTTACTTACTCCATAATATTTTAGTTTCTTCTTATTTAGATGTATAATATTTGTACATACACCATTTAAGAAATCTTGGGAATGAGATATGATTACCAAAATACGCTTATACCTGAAAATTTTATAACGTTGATTACGTTAACAATATCTTAATAATGACGGCAATGTTATAAGTACAAGTTTAAGAAAAAATTAACAAACAGATGTGACCAAAATCATGTTTTATTATGTAAACTTGTCATTTACTCGCTTGATTTTTTCAAGGACGCGTCTTTGTCATCAGCATTGTTGGCATGGTGTTTTCTGGGTTTTGGTCATTTGTGTTTGTTAATGAATATACTTTGTGATTCCAAATAAAAAAAAAGTTAAGAAATTCACATTTTTAATTCTTCTTCCAGCCAGACGCAAGCATCCAAATCCAAGTGGTTGGTTGGCTCGTCTAGTAACAGCATGTGTGGGCTGACGTACAGTGCTTTAGCTAATGCTATACGCATTCTCCATCCTCCTGTAATATAATATAATACAATACGAAATATTTTGATGTGAGAGTTAAATTTTATAATAAAGTTTAAACTTACCCGAAAAATCTTTGCATTTCTTTTGTTGCATTTCCTTACTAAATCCCAGACCGTGCAGAATGTAAGCTGCCTTTGCTTCTGCCTTGTCTGCACCTATGTCATCTAACCTCTCGTATATGTCCATCAATTGTTCTTGTGACTCTTTTAGGAACAATTGTCAATATTTAATATTCCAGAATGCAATGTTTTGTCTCGAATGTGGCAAAACAACTCACCTTCGTCGTCGTACTGTACTAGTTCTTCGGCCAGTTTCTCTAGACGTATCCGTTCTTGATCGACATCCAGCACGGCTTCGATGGCCGTCTTGTCGCTAGCGGGTATTTCGCGGGTCAGATGATAGATGTCAACGTGTTCCTGAATGGGGACTTCCCTTCGGCCCAATGCAGCCAATAATGTGGATTTTCCTTTCAAACGAAACGTGTCACCTCGTCAACATATTTGGCATCGCTAGTTGTATTGCAACGTCTTTTGCCATTAATATACTCTAAAAAATCCTTACCACATCCATTCAGACCGACAAGACCATACCGTCGACCACAGTTCAATTCCAATTTCGTATCACTGAGAATTTCTACCCCGTGAAAGGTGATGGAGAAATTATCAATTTTGACATCTCTAGATCTAGGATGTACTCCCAAAACACCCGTACAAGCTCTCGCCTCGGCATTCAATTCCATATCCTTTTGTAATTTCTTCACTAATTCAACTTCCACTGAAAAGAAAAATAAAACTGTAACACCAGTAACAAGTTGTGCAAAATTATAAATTAGCATTGTTGACAAACATTAAATTGTGGAGTAATTAAACTATCCACTCAAAAAGTATCTGGAAAACAAACATTATAGAATAGAATTTGAATCTGCTCCTTCAAGACTGAACATAATTCACAAGAATTACATTTTACATCTGAATATATTCCTTCAAATTGATTTATCAAATACTTGTTCATACATAACTACCTTATTGTACAATGCACACATCATTGTATAGGCTAGTTTACACCAAGCATGATTTATCAGCAAGGAAATTTTTATATTAGTGATGTCATTTCTGCAATTATACTGATAGTCCAATTTGTCAAAGTTTCACACTAACAAAAAATATTTCCACCAATCAGTATGGTGGATTTGCTGCCATAAAGAGAGCGGACAAACACCAAGACAGCAGCAACTATATATATAGCACATACAACTTATAACAAGGAACAATTTTTGACAGAGATACGCAATGATCAATTTTTGCTTTTCCTTTCTTTTTAATAAATAGATGCAAAATGATGAAACATTATTACTAACTCACTGTTTTCAGCCATCTTGTTGAAGTGATGTTTACCTTTGATCACAACTAATTGGCTATGCTTTTTACCATTCGGTTAAAATTGTCGAGGGGGAAAATAATCACGGTACTTGTGAATCTTTGTCCCAGATGGTGGCTCTCTGCCCCGACGACCAATATCTCAACTAGTACCTGTACCCCCTCGAAACAAATTGACTCGGTCGACTAACCTACATTAAACAGACATGTGTTATCTACTCAGTCTGTTTTGTTATTTCAACAATGTTAAGATTATCGCAAAGTTTTAATAGGTAAAATTTTATCTGATTTTCTTTATATGTACCATCATGGCGGCACTTCCAGTCGCGACTGTTAACACTCCCAAAAAAGTGACCTAAAAATGCACTCCACAAGAAACTACTGACAAAAATGCAAGTGTGATTCTTCCAAAAGCTAGGAAGTCCACAGTTCACACAGAGCAAGTTAAGCAAAAATGTCTTGCTCAGTCTTAGTACATTACATTAGTATAAGGGTTGCCAAACTTTTTTGATCATCGACCCCCTACAAGTTTTCGAAACCTCACATCGACCCCCACCAAAAAGTTTGTGTTACAAGCAAAACAAAGCACTTACTATTTTAATACATTTCTTTTAATTTTGCATTTTCTTTTCATTTATTGTATATTTGTTGTTAATAAATTTTGTAACTGACAATCAGTGAGACAGATAAGCTTGATAATTGACTTCCCCAATAATGTTATATCTATCCCTGAGGGTTGATATCAATCACTTTGGCGACCTCTGCATTAGTATAATAGATAGAGTCTTTCGAGTACTATACATTTGATTTTGTTTAAGCCAAGTAAGATGCCATTAAATATCTTTGGCAAGTTATCTTGATAAATTTGTTTTGTACCAATAGATCTATTAATAAACATAGCCAACTGCAAAATTAACACTTCCAATAAAGTATTAATAGTTTATAACACCATAGGATCACAATACTATTCGATAGAAAAATAGTATGCCTTTCTTTACACCCAAACTGCAGCTCTTCTAAATCCTTACTGTGGCTTCTGTATATTTAATTATTATAACAAATTATATGGAATACACATTATATGAAATACAGTTATGAGAGTGAATGTGACACTCATATTTCTGATAAGCAATACATGGCTACGTTGCAACAAGATTTGGCCAACCCTGACTTATACTCAGCTGTTTGAACCCTACACCTATTGTAGTAAGAGATTTGTTTTTTCATCTGCTGTTTAATTAAGCAAATTCCTAGTTTTAGAAAAATTTTCTGACAAAAATTCAACTTGAATGCTGGCATACAAAGTTGTAATGCTATATTATGATTTAAATAAAATGGCATCTTCTATAAAAAAAATAAAAAAAATCAAATTCTGTCAAAAATAATTTTAATACTTTTTGCACTTAATACAATAAAAATTTCAACCTAAAACTAGTGAAAAAATTCAAACTAACTAAAAACGGAAGTAAAACAGAAGATGGTATCATTCTAATTGGTGTCACAATCAATAACAATCATAAAAATAATTCAAATTTTAAAAACTGTAATTAAAATTACATAAAATTTAAAAAAGTTTATATATATAAAAATACTACAAAATTTCATGTGTCAAATATTGATTTAAAACAAACCAAATTGGAACAAAAGATAGTGGATTTCTACAAAATGAAAAATTTTATATATTTTAATATATATTTTATAAATATGCTCACCACTTCCCGAATCATCACCATTTGTTAAGCACTCGTCATTGTTTGCAATCCCATTTAACAGGTCTCCGGTATCATTGGGAGCTTCGTCTGCCTTCTGCTGGGGTTTCTTTTGATTTCTCATCTTTGCCGCCTCCTTCTTTTTGGCATCGCGACGTTTTTTTGCATCGGAAGGCATTTTTGAGATTTGCAAAACAGATAGTTTACTAGAAAAGAAAAAAGTAACAAATATTAATTAATTTTTCTTTAAACATCAATAATACATAATCAGTACACAAATGTATTTGACGGAAAACCTGAAATTATTTACTTGTAACCTAGAAATCAGCAAGTGTGATTATGGCATTATGATACTTATCTTAGTGGGACCAATTACATGTAATTGTTTGGGCCCCTGGAACTAATCTATGATTGATCTCTAACAAATGACTTCTGGTTTAAGGCATCAATTAGCAATCTATTGTATTCTTTGAGTGTAATAAACAATGACTGCATTTATTAGACTCAATAGTTTTGGAACAGTTGAATAAGTTTCTTCTGAAAGGTCTCCAATGAGGTGTTACTATGGAATATGTTATTTTGGTATCATGTTAGTAGCAGATGGCATTTGTACTATCTAAACTGATCAAAGATGGATATGGCCACAAAACAGTGAAGTAATTAGTATTTACAAATATAAAGTTGTGCATTAGAATACTAATCCACTCATAACTTACAGCTACCAGCAATTAAAAGCTGGTGTGTGAGGTGTAAATTTAAAGGAGCTAATGTAATTTACTTCATAGACACAAAACTACCTATAGTGCAACCAAAACCTTGCAATCATCAGTCAGCAGAGCCATTACACATTACTTAAATACAATCATACCTCTGCTCAATAAGAATTGAACATGCTGAATGCAGCCAATAAAACACATCATTTCCTGTCACAACCACCCTATAATCATTGTCTTACCTTCCTTTAATGAAAGGTATGAAAATTTAATGAAAATTTCATTCCTTTAATGAAAATTTCAAAAAAGTCCTGAAGATTACAAGAAACTATATTTTTGTAGTTAGTTGGAATCTTCCAATATAATGAAAATAAGGAACATATAGATGTTAAGATCTGAAGATCAGCAACCAGTGATAAAGATATTTCACTTCCAATGATTTAATTATCATTACAAAAAAGTCATCAGCAATGCCAATGACACATTTTAATATTCAGTAATCAGCAATTTTTGTAACTACAGCGAACAATTGATTCTAGAATCATCATCTATACACAAACAGCACTGTTGAGAGCTTTTATGGATCAGGAAATAGAATGGCCATTTGTTTTTTTCTCATGCAAATGAAATTCAAGTTTCTTTATTAACATTATTTTCACTATCAGAAAATCTATAAATTTTCTGTTGGTTAAAATAATGTTAATTTTTTAGGATTTGGAATCACAACAGGCCCTTAGGTTTACTCCCCTGGCCTAGTAACCATGGGACCTCCCCTCTTCTCGACAGCCCCGGACTTATATGATTGGCAAAATGTAGATCCCATGTCGTTGATAAAACATTAATTCTGATTAGCTACGTAACAGTGGAAATGGAATCAAAGCCACTAGGAAAAATCACCAGGATTAAAAAGAGTCACCAATCACCATGATATCGGAAAGTCACCGGACTGCTTATCACTATATTATTAATATTAAAAGGACTAAGCAAAGATTTCCACATCATACCACCAAGATGTTTTTGGCATTTCTCTGATATTTTTTAAATGAGTGCTACATTTGCCACTGCAGTTTGATCAAATGACACACTGCACATTTTAAATATTACAGAAAATCTTAATGTTCTAATAATGTTACAATACTATATCAATTTGTTATTAGATTGTATATGATCTCCATGACTGGAAAGAGGATTACAAATATATTGCATATGGAAGGTATACAAATTTTAACTATTTTTAATTCTTTTAGTTATTTAATTTAATAAATAAAAACATAGTTTTATTCTTCAAGTATGCTAACAAAACATGGTATTTAAACAAACAATAATCAAATAGAAATTTCACAGACATTTTCTCTTTAGAAACATTAAATCAACAAAACCAAAATAAAATAAGCCTCATTCACAATGAGTAAACATTGCAGAAATTAGAAGTAAATGTAAATACTGCAACCTTTGATTTTATAGACATTGGTTTAACAGATTTGGAGATAATAGACATATTTCACCATTCCAAAGACCACGTTTGAACGAAAACAAAGTATGACAATATAAGACTTAACGCACAGAATGTCTGCTAGATAGCAAGTTAGCAACTATTATTTACATTCTGCTTAGAAGGGTAGTCTTTGTTTCTATTAAAATAACTGAAAAGGAAACTTTGTTTCTTAATATATTTCAAATAAAGTTCATTTTGTAGTTAACTATGGCATATACAGGTACATGTACAACAATCACCGTACCCGATTATTGATCTCCCTCTCAATTTATTATATTCGGTCGACAGTAAATAACTATTATAAAAAATTATAACCGATTAACAAAAAAAATAATTGAAAAAAAAGAAAACAATTGATTTTCAAGAAATCAACAATATCTATGTTTTGATAAGCAAGTGACGTGTCCAATAAATAATGTCTCATTTTATTTATTTACTTCTTTAAATACACAAGTTAGTTAATTTAACAATTACACATAATCTTCACAGATATTAAAAATATTCCACAGATAACTCTTAACCCGTTTGGTACAATTCCGGGAATACTTTTTGTAAACTTCGTGTCACTCGTTCTAAAACACTCCGGGCCAGCATAATCAGAGCGCGACTTACGACGGCATCATCAGAAAAATTCCGGTCCGTATCTTCTTTATTTCACATTTTAGTAGCCAGAAATCCGATAACTGAAAATCCAAAACATATGCGGTGCCAAATAACCCAACGAATCGATCAAAAATCATAAGTTGCAACGTACTTACAAAAGCAAGAAATTATCAATTTAGATGCTTTCGTCACACATTTTAACAGTTATAAATTGACTATTGAAACATTTACAACAAATTAGATTAATGAAAATTAAATAATATAAACATTAAAATATAACAGCCATAAATCAGAAGTGAATAAGCTTATCTAGAACCCAGATTATGGTTATTTTTCTAATTTTTATAGCAAATTTCGAGATAAAATTGGGTAGAAGTGCTTTAAACATATTATAACACGTAAATAAATGGCCAAAACGTTCATTTCTACCTAAAATTGTACCGACGTTTTTAGCTAATTTTTCTTAAAAAATGAATAAAATTTGATGTTTTATAAAATTGAAGAGGACATTTTGAAAACAGTGTGTAAAAATGTCCAAATTGAAAGCTATTTTTAGAACATTTTGCGTATTCGAAGTGGAATGATCACACGTTTGACTGGCGCAATTGACTAATGCATATGAATGGAGACTGGAAATGCCGGTTGGCTCTTTCTTACCTTAATTACTTACTTAAATTTGACTCACCTTTATTAAATCGTGTATAAGATGATTAATTAAATAACTCTGTTTCTGGTTTTTTCTCTGTAAAAGGAATTATAAAGGAAATTCGATTTCCTTTTGTGTACCTTACACACAATGACGTCGGGATCGAGTGTCGTAAAGACCGGGCGCCCTCTCACCGTTTTCCTTCTTTCCGGGAAAAATTGTAAAATTTTGTGATTTTAATTTTATTCCAAAACGTCTAAGACATTTTATAAATAAATAAATTCTAAATATTTTAATTTATTTATAATGAATTTACCATTTTTAATATTTTATTAAAAGTGGCTTTCAAATGTAGTAGATTCTTTACCACCAGAGGGGAGATATATTTTAAACACGTGGCTGCGACTGTGCGATATCTGGTGGTGGAAATTAGAAGTTCCTCTAAAAGGCTGATATCTACAATCCCCGTATCAGACGAGTGTGTGATACGCGAGCGCTTATTATATTCGTGTACCGAAATCAATAATAGCTTAGAACACAATCGTGTTTTTATTTTGATAACTTTGCAGATGTAAAAATTCCATTAAATTGAAGAACAGTAAGGGTAGTTAGTGTTTTAAAAATGTTTAGAATAATAAGGAATAATACACATTTATTACGTATAAAGAGTTTTATTAATAAAATATTGAAATACAAAACATATACAATGACAATTGCTCATTCATGCTACCGGTATTTCACTATAACAACAAAAAGGAGGTGGACAACTGCGTGAAAATTTACATACTAAATTACCATTTAAGAGATTTGTGCTTTTTGCCAACTTTTGGTGCTGGGGTTTATTTGCTTAACTGCTATGTTTTGTAACCCGGTTTATTATAACAAAACTGGTATCTTACAACTACAGCAGTTGACAAACGATATTCCGAGTTGCTTCTTCTCTCGAAGAGTGAACGTCCTACGGTAACTATTCTTTCCGGTTTCGTTTGGAAAGAGGAAGGCGCAGGGGCGTTGAAAGAAAAAAGTCCGTCACGAAGTGGAAATGTAATCCTGATCATGTAGGGACGTGGAAACGATTTTCTTTTCCTTTGTATGGTGTCGCGCAATGGGAAGACGGGAGGAGAAGCTCTCGGTGTCTTTGGAAACTCGATTTTTATCACTTTTTCGAATCCCAGGTCGAACAGTCCGATAGGTCGATTCCGACTCGCCTCCGTTTTCCAATTGGTCCCCACTCGTTACGAAATGAAACGAGATCAGAATCCAGATCGCGGGATGAGTCAACACCGACTGATCCCTATCGAAGATGTTCGATCTTAGGACATATCAATGCATTCTTCTTTTGTTTTAATTTGAAGAGTAAGTTTTTTCTAAGAATTTTATTCAAACGTGGCGTTTTATGGACACGAAATTTTCTATTTTCCTCTGCCTTTGTTTTTTGACAGTTTTTACAAAATATATTATTACTTTTTCTTTTACACAAGAAAACAAAACTTAATTTTTCGGTGTGTGTAGTCCCGGCCACTTCCAGAGCCTCACAACAATAGTCTACGGTAAGATCCCGCTTAATTAACGCGAGGGATGCATTACTAGACGACAAAGCGCTAAACGAAACAGCGTTAAACCGGGTCATTTTAACATAGAGTAAATATGGATAAGGAAACGCGCCACCAAAAATAAACAAATTTTACTTTAATTTTAAGTTATTTTTATATTAATTTGCATAATAATATATGTTAAATAACACATAATCATACGCACACAGAAATGTAAAGTTCATTGTTTGTGACGAATGTCCTGACTTTTCTGAAATTCTTGTTCTTTTGCAATAGTCGCGAAGCTTCATTTGTCGCTTTTTTTCTTTCCTTAAGATCTCAGACACTGGACAAGCGTACTAAGAATAGGGAAGGAGGCTCAAGGTCTGAGATCAAACGAAAAGTACAAATAGCGCCTGTCTTCGATTTATAAATTATCAATTGGACATCTGATTCCAGATTATTTCAACCTACTCTCGATTATTAGTGTGTCAATCGGTGCAGCAGCGTGGTGCCGCGATAAACTGTATGCTTTGTGAGGTCCCGGACGAAAATCGAAATTATGTTTTGAATGACAAAAATCCGGCGGGACAGTTAAGTTCTCACTTTCTAAAATTAAAACAAAGCAAAACTTAAAGTCTAGCTTAAACAATAAAAGTTCTTTCCATTAAAACGAAGAACGAGACGATAGAATTACGGGGAAAATATCGATGTTCGAAGTAATTTTAGATGATCGAAAATCGGGGTAATTGTTGAAAAACGATCTCTCCCGCTCCCGAAAAGTTTCGAATTATCACCGGGAGACGAGGAACGACTGACCGAAACGCAGAATACGGGAGAGAAACCTATAAAAACACGTGTTATAAACACACAAGGTTCACTGCTCAATAAGTTTTTTTTCTTGCAAAATCGTTGTTTGTCCTCTCACTGTTATTTTACCTTCCAGAATCCTTCGTGAATTCTTTATCCATAGTTGATCTCTCATCCAAGGTGTATTTTTCTTTCTAGAACTATTATTTTCAAAGGTTGACAGTGAACCCGAGGCCATTGAATTTGAAAATCGTCAACGGCAGTGGCGTGCCGTGACATTTGATGATAGGGAAGCCGTGTTTCTGTAAGAAGCCGACTTCCAGGGGCAACCAGTTAATTCTTTCTTTAAATGTATTTTTAATAAATTATTTATCCGACGTACTTAATAAATAAACAAGTTCAACATAATTACCTTTGTTATTAGTTTCAATAGATTCTCTACCCCCTCTAAATGCCGATTCTCGCTTCGATAAAAACATATAGCATCTATTTATTTAGATATAATATATCTATTAACCGTAACTATCTCGTTATAATTTTCAATAATTATTTTATATCAGCCATTAATATTCTAAATTTAAAATACTGAAACAATTTATTTATTAAAATGAGAAGTGATTAGGTTTTAATTGTAACATGAAGAATTTAGAAAACTTGGTTTGAATAATTAACAAATGTTTAAAAAAAAATTATNTGTCCCTATATTTCACTTTTCCGCCAAAAGTACACATCGCACGTGAATGGTGTTTGTATGTGATAGTAGCCCCAAGTCTCCATTCGTGCACTATGGTGGTTGCGTCTCGATAGCTATAAGGGTGTGGGAGATATGGGGCTGAAAGTGGCTTTCTATTTCAAATGTTTTGTTCGAATTAAATTCGAACATAAAATTCGAATATTGTTTCGATTATAAAACGATCGTAAACGTTCCAGAAACGTTGACAATAGTTCGTTTGACTGGACGTGAACAGGAGACGTTCAGAAATAGAATCGGGACCAGGTCTCTAATTAGTCTGGAAACGAGGGACCTAATTCTTGCATTCTGTGAAAACGGGTAAGATTGGCTATAATGTAATTATCTTAATGTGCAATTGGGCAATTTCTTATTATCCGGGTTAAAACTCTTCAAACACACACAGCCATTGCAGGATTTTCAGATCGAAATATTTAGCACAAATTGGTGATGAGGGGATGATGATCGCTACTTGCGCGACTTTACCGCGCTTGTAGCACGTGTAGTTTGAACGTTACAGAATTGATTGAATGGAAACATTTCATTTGACTAAAATAACGCAATTACATTTTATAGATGCGGATGCAGTAACTGAGTTTCCGATAGAAGAAAAGAGCATTTTACTTTCAAAGGATCGCGGGCATCGTCTTCATCCGTAATCTCGAAGAAAAAGAATAACCCCACACGGTTTACTTCGAATTTTTCATTTATGACAAAATGTTACATTTATTTCAAGTTATTGTATTACTCTCAAAAAATATGTTATGATTGTATTTTATCACATAATCGATTTATGCAAATACCTTGTAATCAGTCTTACTGATAAGTATATTAAAATAGATTTATGATATTTACTTATATTGCACTCGCTGTTGGTGTAAAATGCTTAGAAAAACCTCAAAAAATAATGCAAATACCGAATGAAAATGGAATAATATACTTTAAATGATTTTTCTAAACTCGATGGAAAATTTAATGACCAAATAAATTCTACTCACACCTTTAAATCCGTCAATTAAATGTTCAATAATGGTAAAAATAATAGTACATTGTTTCCGTGTAACGTTAATGATTTTATTGAATATTAATAATTAATTTCAATGCATAAATAATAGAACAACGGCATTTGTATTATTACGTATTCGTATTTTTTTATCTTATTATATTCAAGTACGATAATTTTCTTGACAATTTGTATCCTTGAAATTGTATTTTATTGTATCGATTTCAATAAATGGAAACAAACATAGTTTATGCAGTGTGTCAACTGTGTACTTGTTTAAGACTTCCCTAAATTACCAGAAAGTAAATCAGAACCTTCAAACTAGAAAAGCGAAACTTTTTTGTAGTCAAGTTTCAGTGTTAAAACAGAATTCTTTCGTAAAAGTTGTTCTAAAACTAAACACAATTTAATAAATAAAGACAATAAAACATAAGTAAACAAATCGCTAGATGAAATTTCGGCGCCCGACATGTTTGTGAATTTTCCATTTCTGATTGCAAATGTGAGAAGTCCAGAGCACAGGGAGTTCCCTATAGACCGCTTATTTGGCGACGAGTCCCGCTCCAGATGGCTTTTGTAGATTATCAGAAATAAGGAAATCGAATGATTTCTGTCTCCTGTCAGTTTCTGACACCAGTTAGGATGGAGTTAAAGGCGTCCTAACTCGTGATTGTTTCCGTCTATTCGGTTCACAGAGTTCAAAAAAGGGAGGGCCATTAGTTGAGTGGGAAGAATCGTTGGTAAGTCGATGAGGTGTCGGCTGTTCCCGAAATAAAGAAACCAGCTTTAACTCAACAAATTTACTATAAACAATAATAAAAATTACAGAGGACGAACATAATATTTACATAATTTTACCATTAGTTCCGTGTATCGTAGACTCGAGACGGACAATTATAGCGAGTAGTGCTATTTCTTTAAAGACTAAGTCTAACTTATTTCCTAAGTGGACCGAAAGAGAGCGTTTACAATTCTAGGTAAAATACCCCAGAGAGTGATGATGCCTCGCGATTCTGTTTATTCGGTGTTGGTTTGTTTGTTAATTTACGGCAACGCGACACTTGGGCGATCTGCCTAGGGGGGGATGCCTTCCGGAGGTCTTTTAAGGGAAACTGGCCCCTATTTAGACGTTACAGACGTGGAGAAAACCCGAAAAACTCCACGTGACCAACCCGTCCGAGCGAGGCGCTAACCCACGACCGAACTCCCATTGTTCGGAGTACGAAGACCGCTCGGCCACTGGTGGGCCATTCGATGTTGGTAAGACGATCGTGGATCCAGTCCAGGTAGTGTTTAAGGCTGTTATACACGTTACGGAAATCCTTTGAGGATTAACCGTGATTTTTTTCATCTATCCACCTTTAAATAAAAATAATTCTTTATACGTTGGGAAATATTTTAATAAGTTTTGTAAATTACTATGTTCGATCCAGTCAGTTATATCCGATTTTTTTCGTCTGTTAAGTACATCCTTTGAGGATTTCCGTAACGTGTATAACAGCCTGGAATCCTGTTATAGAGCTGGCACAGCCAGAGGGCGTGCAGGAAGAGACATTCATGACTCGTGTGAAAGAGGAGATCGCACGGGCCAAGAAAACCAGAAATAAAATATTTAAAGTAAGTGTGCCCATGCTTCTGTGTCTCGCGAGGTTTTAAGTACTTCGTAATAGTCTATAAACAAACCACTTAAAACGAGGCCGTCGGTATGTACAGGGGCTCTGAATCCGGTTTTCTGTGTATACAGAAAACCGGATTCAGAGCCCCTGTACATACCGACAGGATCTTGTGACCCTTTTCATTATAAAATGGCAGCGTTTGGCACTTTAATTAAAGAGCCTACACTCATTCCTCAACGATGCGTGCTCTAGAAATCGAGCTTAAGACTACATCTCGTATAGCTGAGCGCCATGGACACCACATCCTTATAACTAACTTGTCCAGGAAACTACACCATCCTCAAGTAACTGCGCAAATCACTTCGCATGGGGTTGGAAGACCCAACCCTAAAGACAATACAACCTGTATTTACAGTACCTGTCAAGTACAACCCGTATTTACAAAAGCTTTACTCTGAGAGTGCTAGGAAGAAATGCATCAGCATCGCATATATGAGGTGTCCTGGTGTATTTGATCTACTCCGTAATGCTAAGGGTACTCCCAACCAGGACATGCTATCTGGAGTATATATCATTCCGCTAAAAGATCATAGGTGTGATGAGGATTTAATATACATTGGCTCCACTAAGCACTTGTTAAGAGTGAGACTAAAGGAATGCAAGGCGAATGTACAGTGCAAGAGAGTAACAACTGCTCTAGCTCATTATGCTACAGATCTTGATATCCAACCAATATTTAAAGAAGCCATTTGTGAGAGCTTTTTCTTTTTATTTAATGTCGCACCATAAAAGGTTTGTGGATGTATATTTCTGTATTTTCATGGTGTTGTGATAAAGTTTTGCAAACATGTGATTTAGCAAATGCTTTTGTAGCATTTTATGTTGTCTAAATTGGTGACATTAATTACGATTAAACATTTATATAAACTTTATTGTTGTGAATAATCATAATTTGTGTGTAAAATAATCACGTTTCATTAATAATTAACTTAATAGTTATTAATATTTATTATTTTGGATAATTTTTTAGTCTCAAAATTGGGACTTTTTCAAATCCTAGTTTTGCACTTTTATATTTTTTAATGTCTGAAATTTAATTGTAAGAAATCATGCATATAAAAGAACTATTTTATTCATTTTAATTTGCTGTTTGAATATATTTGCAAAATTTGTCTGTATTTACTGGTGATTTTTAAAGTTCTGAAATATATATTTATATTTAACTAAGTTGGGAAATTTGTATCAAAAACCAGTTATATATATTAATTTTCTCACTTTATATTGAGTTCTAAATTTGAGATGATTATATCAAACATTTGTTTGTAAAGTTTTAATGCAATGCTATGGTTAGTATAATTTCTTACACTTGAGCAAAAAATTATATTGCTCAAGTGTAAGAAATAAATCTGTAATTATGATTAGAAGAAAACAAATTTTACTGTCAGGTTTATAAAAAAAATACTAAAGTAATAATGTTCAAATGGCTAAGTCTGATAACGTCTGTAATCTGGAATATCCCTATTCTCCAAAGGCTGAATTTATTCCTTATTCTTGTATAATTTTCAAAATAATTTTTGTTGCTGAGATGTGAAATCTTCCAAACCTAAGATGAGATAATACATATTGTATTTTCAATTGTATTTGATGACGTATCCATATTTTGTTAACCAGAGGAGACATAACCAAATACTCATATACAGATGGCAAGAAATTTTTCAGGTTTATTATGTACAGTACATTATATCTATACAAATATATCCATGAGTATGTATGGGATGTTATCAGATGCCTTCCTGTAATCTTTATATATATGCCACCATTCTACGACAAGTACAGGACAAGCAACTGTTCTTTGTATCCTATATAGTTTCTAAAATAGCTATTTTGTTGTTGTGATTCTATATGATGATGGAGGGTTGCTAGTGTTGTATTTTTAGCTTTCATGTATATTGTGCTCTGTGGATTGTTAATTGTGGGTAAAGTGTTTGGCTAATTCCTAGTGCAGAGAGCATCATTAGAGTAAAAATTAATTTATTATGTATTTTACAATTACAGAAAAATACTTACATATAAAAAAATCAATTATTTTATCTAAGCATAAAAGTAATCGACTCCATAAATAAAACAAATTCTGGATTACGACTTTCAGAAAATTTTTCAATTTACTTTTATGATGGTAAATCCAAATTGGAATGAAAGACAATGCGCGTTTCTTTGACTGCCCAAAGTGATTAAAAAAATCAGTTGAAATCCTCCACATGGATTGTCAAGCCTACTTCCGGCTGACTGCTGTTGGTGGCGTCTGTGTCACCACTTCCTGTGCTCCAAGTCTCTTCCAGTTTTTGACTCTCTCTATAATTAATTTGATCTCTTTATCTTTAATAATACATTAAAGAAACATTAAAAATATTAATAAAACGTCATACTTTAGTGAAATTCTCAAAATTTCTATTTTCAGATCATCTTCTGGAGTGTTGAAATCATATAGATTATCACAGTCTGTGTTGGAATCCTGAAACAAGTAAATCTTATTTCTGCAATTTATGGGTATTTACGATATCAAATTTCGCACAACTTACCTTAACACCAATTATGTCTCCGTCTTTTAAATAAAATGGCTTTTGTCTTAAATTTATTTTAGGCAAAGTCCATTTCTTCTTTACTTTGTTTTTCTGTAAAAATTTAATGAAATTATGTAGAGATTTGCTTGTATGTACCGTAAAGCCCATAATCTTGAATTTCTCCTTAAGTCAAATTGCTTGTTGGTCCCAATAACCCTATATAATGTAATGTATTTTCTCTACTCCTTAAGTCAAACTTAGAAGGTGCTCCCTAATCTATTAAGTTCATTGAATCCTTTTGGCATATTGCATGGTTAAGCGACTTTAATAGTGCCAGATAAGCAAGCCAAATGGCATCAAGTTGACATTGTATCAGAAAAATCTGTTAAAATCAAATGGCAAAATCCTAAGTAGATTTTGCCATTTGATATCTCTATAATTGTTTTACCATCCATTTTCTTTGATAATTTTCAATCCTTTATTGATTATTACATACCAATCTGGTCAATGACTGCCTGCTCTCATTTGGATTAAATCACAAAAGAACAAAATAAAATATATCTCACCTTAAATAAATTCTGTGATCTGCCTTTAACTATCCATTCTAACATTGCTAAGTCCAGACTGGACTTCCTTTATTTACTAATTGCTTAAAATATTTTAATAAATTATTATATTAAAGATATTAGAATGTATACATAATGTCGGACTGGTTTAGATTAAGTGTTTTCTCATGCAATTTTTGTAATTTTTCAAACATATAGGCACCATTTTTTAGACTATCCTACTCTCAAAGATCTTTTTTTAATCACATTTCACAAAATATAAATACTGTAGTTGTGAACACTTACTACACATTGATTACTAACATTTCAAAAAGCCAGCAAATGAATATTATATAGATCACGGTTGCTTGCAGTTGTCTTGATTACATGTATTTCCTTAGCACAAGGTTGCCATTGAGAACCGTTTTTACTTATTTCACCCATGTTTTACTCAGAAATTACGTTATCTTAGCCATCACTATAATAATCTTAGGACTGACGAGAGACATTAAGTCCAAAATGTATATCTTTTCCTATCAATAAACCAGACTTTATCCACTCAAAGTGTTCCTGTGTGAATATTATATAATTCTTAATTTTTTTAAAAAATAATTTTATACTGTATTTTATTGTATACTTATTGTATTTGTGGAAGTCATCTGGGAGTCCATCTTGTTGGGAGTCATCTGGGATTCCACTTGTATACTTATTGTATTTTATCTCGTTATACTTTATTTCTTGTATTTTACGTATTTTAATAGGTTTTAATGTTAATTAGGGGAAAGAAACCTATTATTGCAAGACTTTTTCTATTGTAATTGAAAATAAAATAAATAAATAAACAATATATTAAATTCAGGCAAAATAGTCAGAAATTTATCATATAAATCACAATTGCTATATCTCTTTAACAGACTTAAAATTATTTAAAGAAATGTCTCTGGTCTGATTACACTTACCGTAATTTCGTTGATCACTTTCCATTCATAAGTTTCCGGAAAGTATTTGGCCAGGAGAAACCTGTCTGCTGGAACTCCAAGATATTCCGACACGACTTGGCACAGACTTTTAATATTTGCCGACTTTCCGGTCTCCCAGATGACTTCCACTGGCGGCCCATAAGTACGCAGGTCAGATATTCTCCAGTGAACATTTAAAAGAATTTCGCTCTGCCTGTAAATTTAAAAGCAAAATGTGCTTATAGATATATTTATATTTTATAAATAATAATTTATGTATATACTTACAAAAGATCTTCCTCTTCAGTCAATATCTGAACTGCAATTGATTGATTGTTATATAATTTCAATTTTCTGAAATAGTTGTAAATAATTTTGTATGATTACATTAAGAAATTACAGGAAATTTTTCATAATTGTGAATTATTAGTAACTAGCAGTTTCTTTATAAAAAATGTTGATGGAGAATTAAACACTTTTACAGAGGGATTTCTTTTTAATTTTATAAGATGGGTTAATCGAATAATTTTTCTATCAAATCTTGTTTTCTTGATGCACTCAAAAAGCACATTCAAATCAAGGATTCCCTACTTGAAAACTGTGATTCATACTGCTTGGGTGCTATGTGGAATGATGAGAGTATGGAAGTTTAAATAAATTTATCGCTACTTATGTATTATCAAAGCATTTGTCCAAAGCTCTGTACAGAAAAATATCTTGTGCATAGAACTCTCGGTTCTATTTGCAGGACCACACTGGCTACTCTGTCATGTAATAAAAGAACTCTTCCTGGAGATGTGTTTTATACCAGGTCCAAACAAATGATAGTTGTTAGAAGTGAGATGTGGTATGTCTGAACACTGACATATTTTATAAAACAATAAAAGTCTTGTTAAAAAATACAGTTAAATGCAATGAATACAAACTGCTGGATAATTAAAATTTATTGTTATTCCTTTAGTATTAAAAAAATACAAAAATATTATAATTGTATTTTTCTTGTCAACCAATTTATACAATATATGTTGCAAGAATTCTGTAAACATCTAGAGAATGAGTGTACATGGTGCATGTTTCAGTGATACTTGCATCTAAACAGTAAAATTGTTTAGCTGTTCACATGTATGGAAAGAATGTAAAGAGAAAATGTTACAGTACGGAGAAAAATTATAAACTTTTAGAAAAACTGTTTTAAGTTTAAAATATATATGATCAATATTTGGATTCCTCATGATGTTTCAGTTAAAAAATGCTTCAAATGTCTTACAATGGTCTTTGCACCACATTTAATGTTTAAGTAAAAATGCAGAAATAACATTTCGTAATATGAAGGTATCTGCTGGCACTCACCTCAGCGAAGCAGCGTGACCTCTCAGAATGCGACCGGGTTTGTTTCCTTCTAATAATCTGAGTCTCAAATAGAGTGTGCCTGGAAGACTGCAGGTACTGAGATTTGGAAGAGTTAAGAGTTGGCGTTTGAGATCGGTCAGCGTCGACTCGGCGGAGATTTCCACTTCTCCCAACTGAATGGGCACGTAATTGTAATAGTGGGAGATTCCAGAACATTCACCGTTCATAACTGTTTAAATTTTATACAAAACAATATTTTGCAATTGTTAAATACACAAATCCAAATTAATATATTAATAAAATAGATACATCAATGACAATTTTAATTTTATTTTAAAATTGAATTATGATTATGGAAATAACAGAGTATTAAATATAGCTAATTAACATAGCAGTTTAACTATAGTAAATTAATGAACTATTTATAAAACACAATCATAATTATTGTGCTATGTTTTATATGATCACATTAATGATAACGGATAGGCAATCATGTGACTAGTAACATTCAACAATATCAACACTCAGATGGATAGACAGACAAGAGATGAATTCCTAGAATATCAAAAACATTTTAAAATTCAAACCATATCACATCAGAAATTTGTTTGAAAGTTCCCCCACACATTTCAAACAGGTTATCACAGGTGGGTAGCCATGTAAGTGATTTCACTGCACCAAGCTATCAAAAATGTAAGACGATGACATACAAAGTGATGACAATGCTGATGAAAGTGAGAATGAAGACAGTAATATTACACAATATAAAAGTAAGTACTCTAAGCCAATGTTTACCTTTAGAGATGTTGACAAATGCCTTGAAATGTTCAGTGGCGATGTTGAGAAATATGTCGTTAAGTGTATCTCCAATTTCAAAGACATGGTGGAAATGTGTAAATGAAATGGTATGCAGAAGATGGTTTATGCAAAATGACTACTCAGAAATTCAGCAAGAATGTACATAAACTGTAAACAGTGTATTAAAACATGGAGAGCATTAAAAAAAGCTATTTGTGTCAAATTTGTTTCAAAACAGAACAGCAAAAAGATTCACAAGCAACTTTCAATAGAAGTAAAGCATTAGTGAAACTTATCAAGAATACATGTATCGGATGATTGAAATTTTGTCACAAAATACAATTGAGGATGAATCAGTGATACATACATGATGAACAAGTAAGAAAAACAGTGCTTTATTGTGCTACAACTTTCAAAAAATTTTGACAAATATGTGAATTCATGAAGACGTGAAATCAAATCATAAGCAAATTGCTAAAATGACAGCAAGATTCAAAAAGCTGGGACAAGAGATAAAGCCTAACAAAACTTATGGAGAAGAAAAACATTGTTATAACTGTGGTGGGAAATATCATGTAAGTAAAAGTTGTCTAAAGAAAGATAAAGAAATGAAATGTTTCATCTGTAATAATTTTAGTCATATTTCATTGCAATGTCCTCAAAATATTGAGAAGCCAACTTATGAAGTAAAGAGAAAAAATTTAAGTTGTAGACAGTGAAAGAAGTCAAAATAGGGGAAGTGAGCTTTACAGCATTTACAGTTCCAAGAAGTGATATATATATTTGATGAGAGCCAATGATTATGTAAGGATGGGCAACTGGAAATTCACTAGAATTTCATGAAGCAAGTGAGTGAAAGAGTTCTATACTGGAAAGTTTTTGGACTGTAGTAAGTGTTGACAGAGACCAATTTTCAGTTCCCACACATGTATTTTTCCTAGTTCATTCCTTGTTTATCAATTATGTTGGAAGAAGACTTTATGAAACAAGTTTATATTATTTTAAGACAAGTCACCAAACTATGGCCCATGGGCCAGATCCAGCCAGCTGCCTCAGTGTGCCACAAATGAGCTAAAATATAATTATTTATACGGAAATATCATAGATTGTAGATTAACTTATTAAATAACTTGCGTCGATGACTTCTCTTCAGCTGGTTTGCTGTCTCCCTATTTAACTTTTGTATGATTAATATGGCTCAAGTCAACACCAAGTCAATGTAGAAAAAATTAAAGTAAGTGTAAGTAAAAATTCCAAAATTGGTCCAATCTGATTTTTGCATTTGATAGTAATATAATTTTTAGGAAAATCAGTGAAATAAAAAATTTGAAGACTTTTTGTGACTTTGGATATTGGAGGGCTTTTTGTTTAAGTACCTGTGATGAAGTTTCTAAGAAAATCGATTATGAGCTTGCTGCAGTGATCGTGTTTGTGTATTGGTAAATAAATATGTTGTTTTTAATTAGTTTTGTGTATTCAGTATAATTTATTGAACAAAATGATTATTCGGCCATGCTCGTCATTCTCTCAGTTATCTGGCCCACTGTGAAAAAAGTTTGATGATCCTGGTTTAAGAGAAAGTTCTGTTGAAAAAATCATGAAAGTAAAAGACACAAAAATAAACATTCCAGACATATAATATTGATGTTGCTTGCATAAATACTGACTTGGTGTTGACTTGAGCCATATTAATCATACAAAAGTTAAAGAGGGAGACAGCAAACCAGCTGAAGAGAAGTCATTGATGCAAGTTATTTCATCTCTGTTTAAACATAATCCTGAAATTCCAAATGTAAAATTATTAAAAGTTAAACAAGTAGAAGAACACTTATTTTGTAATGAAGGAAATCAGCAAATTATCACTTCACCCTCATTTGATTGTTTGCTTAAGGGATAAGTTTTCAATTACAGAAATTACTTCTGTACAACAGAAAAAAATTCTGCTTATAGTAAAAAGGAAAAGAGAGAAACCAGAAAGATTTTCGAATCAACCTGACAAAAGTGATAGACCTTTTTATACTTATCACATCAATCATCTAAGTTGTTTAACACAGACTTGGAAGCATTATCAGTATGTACTTGCAGTTACAGATGCCTTTGCCAAGTTTCTATGGAACTATCCCACTAAATCAATAGGAAGAGAGGAAGTTATAATTTGACTGAAAAAAATGGGTGGCTCCATTTGGTAACCCTAAGCAAATTGTGTCTGAAAGTACATCAGCATTTATGTAGAGTGCTTTTAAAGATTATTGCAAGCAAGAAAACATCGAGCATATTCGAATTACTACAGGCGTTCCAAGTACCAATGAACAGATGGAAAGAATGCATCAAGTCATGATTTCATTGCTTCTAGACTGTCTGCTCCAAAGCCTGAAGAATGGTATAAGCATGTTGATCTGGCAATGACATACATCAATTCCTTGTATAACCAAAATATTGATAAGTCTGCTTTTGAATTGCTGTTTGGTACCAAAATGCATTTGAGGGAGGATCTTAAACTACAAGAACTGAGATAGAGAAAATTCTGTGCTTTGAGGAAGAAAGGGATGAAATCAGAGCAATGGTAAGAAAGAGAACATTAAGAAACTGAAAGCAGGAAAACTTTTAACAAGAAAAGGAAATGCCGTGGTAAATTCTTAGTTAGTGATCTTGTAGTTAGCTATTAGGAGATCATATATGCTCCTCCAGGTTAAAAATCAATCCAAAATTCTTACAGCCACACCAAATCATAACAATTCTAAGAAATGACAGATATTTAGTGGAAAAGACAGATGATCATGAAGGCCCAATTCAGACGTCTACTTCAGCAAATAATATCCAAAGCATGGATCACATTGACTAACAAAGTTTTTGACTAGCCAGATGAGGACATCAGGGACGATGTCAGTTGTCAGAATGGCCAAATATGGGAATTAGATGAGTGAAATTTCTGAACTCTAAATTAAAAAAAATCAAAGGGCATTTGTTTCTCTAAAAAAATAAAAGGAGGGGCAGATGAGATGACAACAGTTACAAAAGGTGAGAAAAACAACATGAATGCAAGAATTCACAGAGTTTTTACTTGTTTAGACTATGATTGGATCCTAATTATATTATACCTTCTTTTTTTGTTATATTTCCTATATTAATACTAAAAAACACTTAAAAAATGATAAATATATATACTTTCCATCCCATAAAAAAATTTTCTTCAAACCTTTGATAGATTTTTAGTTGCCAATTAGCCATGTCTGATTTGATTGAGAAAGTACATCCAACTTGAGCATCCAAATTGCTTGGTTACTTGTCATTTGGACACTGATTTTTTATGTCTCACACAAGCAGTAAATCATTCATGAATACTCAGCTTTATGGGTTAATTGTTCAGACTGACTAGTAACTAATTTACAACTTAAAATCAAGACAACACTACTAATAAAAATCGATGAGTCAAAAGTTTATTATACAATAAAATGTTTTTTGACATAATTTAACTGTTGTTACGTCTACCTTTCTGCATTTTATTTGCAATGGTGTCATATTTATAAAACTGCAAGTTACATTGCAATGACAATTTCACCATATATGTGCTAACAATATAAATTTGAAACAAAAATATTAATTCTTTGCGTTGACATTAAATAGCAAAGACAAATTATCATTATTTATAGAAGATATACCAGGTATATTTATCAGATAAATTTAATAAAACAAAATTGACTTCTAGATATTGTTTATTTTGTCTGTGTAGCTGTATTGGATATGTAATGAAATAATATTTGCAAATCACACCTAAATTCAAACTTTCCAGCAAATAAAATTAAAGAAATATAAGGATCAAACATCCACTAAATTTATCAGCCTTTCTCAGGAAATACAAACTGAAAAAACCATTCTATAAACAGAACATAGCTGCCTTGTAAATTTTAAAAGAATAAAAACAGCTGTGACGTATCGTGTATGACATATATTATGAGTCTAGTGTTTCCATGCTGATGATACAGGAATGACATCTGTGTTGATGCAGGTTCCACTGCTGCTCGCCTTGTAGATCTCCACTGCTTTTAAAATTTTAATACTTTGCCTGTCAAAGACCTTGTGTATTAGCTTGGCCAGGTCCCAACAGGGGGAAACCCCTGGACTGCTGGCATATCGTGCTAAAGCCATATTGATGTTACCTTTTAGCATGTCATATTTGTGATCTTTTAGTCTGGCTTGCAGCGATCTGTATGTGGATCCTACATAAGCTAGTAATCTGTCAAACCTCTCGTCTTATAGGGGGATGTGATAAATCTCAGGAGCCATAGCGCCCTCAGTGTGAGAACAGGTAAACTTTGCACTGCTGCCACAAAAGAGGTTATCCATATAACTGCCAGCCACGGAAGACATGATCCTTGACACAAAGATGCTATCCAAGAACAAAGTGTGAGATCCGAATAGCCCTCGGGTCTAAATTAATAATTTTAAAAATAATGTTAAAGTTTTGACATAAATTATTCTTTCACTTTGGGTGAAAAAAATAACGTTTTCTAGCCTGGGAAAACAGCTAAGAGAGTCACTTCCTTTCACGGAAGTTAGAACATCCTCTGTCTTTCCCCTTATCTGCTAAAAATCTCGCTTTGATGGGAACTGTTTACCCCTCATTTCATCCCCTTTCCATCCATTCACGTGGATAAAGCCTCGGCTGATAATTGGTCGTAGATGAGAAGATATATGGGATGTTCAACCGAATTCGAGGAGTTTGTCAGGAGATCTGATAGTAGAAAGAAGTCTCCATATTGGCTCCACCCCGGCCCTTAGGAGTTCATCAGCAGACCTGGAAGAGTCAGGACTCCACATATTCGCTCGCTAAGGCCATCTCCCTTTGGAGTTCGTCGACAGTTCTGAAAGTGACAAGACTCCACAGAAGTGTTCTCTCTAAGGCAACGCCCTTGAGAGTTTGTCCATAGATCAAATAGTGGAAAGGACTCCATACATATGCCAGCAGATCAACACATCGTCATCCCTGAACAAGTTACTCCTAAGTTATCTATGAGGTACCTTGACGAATAAGAAGATGACACTGCCAAGTAAACAGGTTGTATGTTTAAGACTAGATTGTGAGCTCTCTCTCTCACTGGTATAGGCTAAGAATAGATATCCTCCTGACACAATTACTTTGTTATTCCGTTCGTGATTGATAGTCTTAGATTATTTGAATATTTCTTGTTTGTATCAGTATTATTTAGTTGTTTATTAAATTCTATATACTTTGTTAAGAGATGTCTCTGTATTATTATTTCCTGAATCAGATCTACGGTATGGATTTCACGCGTGTTTATCCGCGTTACGCAAAGTAGATAAACTGGTGTCGGGACCTGACAAGATCTAGAATTCACCCTCTAGATCATTTTTAAACATTTTTCTCGCCCTCCTATAAAAGTAAGAGAACCGATCTCATGATCACGTGCCTGTAAGCGGCGTAGACTAAGATCTACGTCCTTGGCTACTCACAAAAGCAATTGATGGTGATTGCTTTGTTCTTGTCTTTGTTCATTTCTTGCACCTATTTTCCGTTAGATATACACGGTGCTGATTTTATTGTTGACTCCTAGGCCCAAATTTCATTATGCATGTTCAGTCGCATCACAGAGCACAGACATTGATACTTTAATAATCTGGTATATCAAAAATGAAATTATGGACCCTCATTTACAACTTATTTTTTACATTCAAATAGACCCTCATTATATTTTTGGATTCCTCATAAAAAACAGCAAAGTTTTATCAGTATTGGCCCATTAAATTTTCAGAACAAACTCGAATCTGTAATGAAACAGAAATAAGACATGCTAGTGACTGTAAAACATTGCACAACAAAGTTGCATGATTTGTGCAATATCGCTTTGTTGCATGCACTCGTAAACGATCATGTATGTCAAAAACAAAGTCATGGACTCATTTTTTATTGTATTTTTGGATTCCTTATCACAATTAATGGAAAATGACAAAGTATAATCAAAATCGATCAAACATATTTTGAGAACAAACACAACTCTGTAAGCCTTATAAAAGAGGCTTCACTAACTCTCTGCCTCAAATATCTTATACTTTTGATCAAGTGCATATAATTTTTCTCTGTCACTAATTGCATTCAAACACAGAGAACAAAAACTACTGTATGACAATTTTAACATTTATATATATCATTTTACAAAGAAATTGCAACTAAATAGACTTACTTCTTGTGTCATTTGAATTTTGATTTTGATTGCAAGTGAATGTTTCATATAACCACATGTAAAGAGTGAGATATCCTGGAGGAGGAAGACGACCTTCTAAAATAATCAAATAATCACCGTGATCCACTCCTTCCTCTTCTAAGCTCATATTTTCATTAACTAATGGACTGGTGGGTTCTCCACGCCAATTCGTCTTGCAAAGATGCCAACTTTCTCCTAAAATTGGTGATAATAAAATAACTATTTGGTAAAGAATATTATCTTATAAGATAAACAGTATAATACCATCTAAACCGGACTGCTTCAGCATTAATTTTAGACATTCTGAAATGCTTAATTTACGACTGACCGTCACTTCATATGCAGGAGCATCATCAATCATCTCATTTATGCTAAACAGTAAAGTTACCTACAAAGTTTATACAACTTTATCAATATTTTATTAATAAATAATGACTTAAAAATGTAAAATACTGATTAATACTTGATTAGACTTTGGTGAAACTCCTTTTTCTAAAATTAATTTACAACTGTCCGTTATCCCCGCTTCTCTAAGAGTTAAATCTAAATAAACTAAGAAGAATTTATAACGATTTATTAGAAAAAGTTGCAAGAATACAACATGCCAAGAAGTTATCTCAATTATTTCATACTTGACGGTTTCTGACGACGACCATCGGCGACTTTTCTCAGTCTATAATCAATACTGTTGTCGAATGAAAATCGTTGTATGAGCAGGTTTAAAAGATCTGAAATATTCTAAGATTGACAATTATTTTTAAAAGTTTTGAAAGATCATTTGAAATCAATAGTGATGATAATTGCATAATCACTTGTTTTGGATCTACTTCGACTTCATTTTGAATTGGATTGGGAAGTGCACAACCACTGTTAATCTATAAGAAAAGTTATTTTTGTTTTTATGTATATTGTTTCAATAGTTTAATGTATAAATCATCAGATGTGAGCACACATCAACACTCACCATGCATCTGTTCTCAACAATTACAGTAATCAATTTTGTATAGTTATCACTTTTATCACAGCTGCTAGTAGCAAGAATATTGTCACCATCTAAAAGGTTGAGTTCTATCAACGACATTCCTTCTTTCAAGTCATCAAAGGTCGTAACTGTCGAATCGTCATCTAAAACAACTATAAAGTATTAAAAAGTATTAGCAAAAAGTTGAATGCAATATTAAATGCTTTAAGTATTAGTAAGTAATTAACAAAAGAAACACTCACTTTGAAATTCAACCTTACTAATGACAATATCCTCTAAGTTTAAGGGTGTAATATCACAAAGCAGAACTTTTAACTCTCCTAAGGTCATACTCTTTGGAAATCCCCGTGTCATTTTAATACAATCTGTGTCACTCAACCTGCAGGTGACATTTAACAAAATAGGCTCGTGGTGAATGCCCACGAGAATAATTTCGCCTCCAACCTACAAATATATATTGCAAATTTGTGAAAAATTAATCATCAATTTTTGCACATTAATTAAGCAATGACTACCTCTTTGCCATTCCAAACAAATAATTTAGTTCCGTCCGTAATTTGTAAATCTATAAGACTTTCCGAATCTTGACCTATCACAGTATAATTGCACAAAGGATAAATTAAGTTTGCACAAATTAAATTTTTTCTATTGTAATGAATAAAAACAAATTACTAGGACTTAGTTCTTCATACAGATGAAGACCTGCAGGCACTTCACTCAGAAGATGAATTGTATCGTGGCTTTCCGGACAGAACGCCATACCTAACTAAGAATTTGCAAATTTAAAATGATTCGGATTAAAATTTAGTTTCAATTTCTTTTGACATAAAATAACTAAAATCCTTACTTGCCCAATCTGATTTCGTAAATCAGCCAGAGTCTTGCGTTTATCGATACTCAATTCCAGAATGCTCAGCATTTCTGGAATGGGTTGTAAAGCACCTTGATAATACTGATGATGAATGCCAAAATGAATTTGCAAGTTAATACTGTTTACGATGGCATCATATTCGTTCCTGAAAAATCCAAATATATATTCATTCAAATAATTTTGGTTAACTTTGACATGCTCGATAACTCATTTAACTGACTTTTCATCTATATTTTAAGAATAATTAAAAGCAGTTTGGAACACCTGTATGTTGTTATTCAAGAATCATCAAACTATATCTCAGTTAAAAAATAACTGTCTAATACTGGAATAAACATACACAACATACCAATACCAACATACTTAAAATTAAGAAATATTTACTAACATTTTCATCCATTTATAACGGACATCTTCAGGCATGTAATGCAAAACAAAACATCTACATCATTACAAAATTTATCTTAAACTAAATACATACATTTTTACGGGAAATAATTTAAACACATTTTGTAGGTTATTCAAAAATATTTTTAAACTAAATATGTATTTTGTTCAGGAAATAATTTTAAACTGTAGACATACTTTGTTCCAGAAACAATTTAAATTTGAAGTTGTAAATTATTTGTAAAAACGTGTTTGATTTTAATGTAGCAGTTTTGTTCTCCATTATATGCCTGAAGATGTCTGTTATAAATGGATGAAAATGTTAGTAAATATTCTTAATTTCAAGTGTGCTGGTATTGGTATGTTGTGTTATAACAAAATGTTAGGCCACTTTATATAATTTGAATTTGGAAATAATTTATTTTGATTTCTTCCTTTCTTAAATGAAAAATATCAACTCTCTTATACACTAGTTATGAATTTTCATGACTTGAGGATTGATATTTTAAATGGCTAATTTAAATTACATGATATATAATCTATCGATATGTGGTATTGGGCAAGTTTATGGAAAATATGGATATTATTACCCTCTTCCATTACAGAAAAAGAGGGAATAACATCCCAATACAAAGACCTAGATTAATTTCAGTCAGCATCTACTATAGTGATGTAACACAGCCAGTACTAGCTATATTGTTTCAGCATTGTGTGAGAATTTTTAGTGTATCCCTTGAACTTTCAAATTAATATATACATTTTAAAATATGAAAATGATACAAATACTTGCCTATTTTCTATTTTTGATTTACTGCACATCCAGTACTAGCTATATTGTTTCAGCATTGTGTGAGAATTTTTAGTGTATCCCTTGAACTTTCAAATTAATATATAAATTTTAAAATATGAAAATGATTCTAGAGGAAAAAAAGAAGAAAAAACAGGATCACAGATTTAGAAAATCAGTATTTTCTAGTCTGTGATCAAAATTTTCAATTACACAAAAGTTAGACCTGTTAATAATGCTAGTTTAAAAGCTTTATTGAAATTGTTAATCTGAATTTATAAAAAATTAGAAACGTTGAAGAATTCAAAAAAAAAAAAAAAAAAAAAACATTATTATACATACATTATATTGTGACTTGATATGTATAAGAATTTGAACTTTTGAGAAAATAGGAAATAATAATACCATATTAAATCAAATTATAAGATAAATTAGTCAAGTAGCATTTTCAATTTTTAAATGATCAATTTTTAAATTTGAAGCATCTTCTTCACTCTGTTGTTTAAACCACTCTCTCATAAATATTAGCACAAGTTTCTCATATATGAATTTAATTTGATATCAAATTAAATGTATATGAGGAGCTTATTTCCAAATGGACATAAGCACCAAATTTATGATATTTGAATTAATTCCATAATATTACTCATTGAAAGCTCTACTGTTTATGTAATAAATTTGTGTGTCAAATAGGCCCATATACAATAGAAAAAAATAGCTTCTAATTTATGTTTGTTTACAGATAGACATATGTTCTTTTTACTGTAGTTCCTTATTTCCATGTGCATTTACATCCATATGGAAATAAGTTCCTCATATAAACATTAACCAAAGTTCAATTCTTAATAGCCAATCATATCTAAAACTTAAACTATTTTTGGGCTAGAATTAAGCACAAATGGTGTATTAACACACTACCTTTGAACTAATTCCATAATTTAATTAATTATTAATTAGCTTAATGATTGAAATGTGCTTATACTTTAATTAAAGTATTCAGGAAGCAAGTCTATATGTAATTAGAAAAATAACAACTATGTCTTCTTATGAAGTTTAAAAAGTAGCTTAATTCTAGCCTGAAAGTAATCTGTTTTTCATAAATGTTGGGCTATAAAATATAATTATTAGTTAACAAGGTGGTAAAATTTAGATAATGAAATATTTGGTACAAAATTTCTTAAATTATTACTACCAACTAATTTTAGATTATTTTGATTATTAATAATTAAATTCAAGTATTATATATATTGATTTAAGGTGAGACAGCTATAAATAATTTTATTTGGTCAAATACCTGTACTCACAGGCCAACTGTTTTTGAATATTGTTCACTTATTTCTGAGGCTAGAGATGTTAAGTTTGGACCTAAAAACTGATCCAATTTTTTGAAAAATTCTAAATTCAATTGATATTTTGCTGAAAGAACAAAATAAATTATATTACAAATTTATCAATCATACNAAACACAGGACAAACGATTCATCTCCTTCAATGCTAGGTGTTGGGATTGGAGGTTTGTCAGCACACATCTTACTAGTTAGTCTTACTTAGGGATAAATAGTCCTCTTTTCATAAATACAATGTTGTATTCTAAATATATTGAATTTGACATCTTGGTCCACATTCCAAAGCTGTTAGGCTTCAGCAGAATATTTGACACCTCAAGCCACTAGAAACTTGCAAGTGCAATCAAGGGTATAGAAGAAATGTCTGTAATATGGTGGAAATTGGAATTACTTCATTTCAGCGTGTAAGTAGACTTAAGCTCTACCTGCAATCCCTGAAACATTTCTATTTTACAATTACGTATGTAATAAAAATCATTTATAATATTTTTATTTGTTCTGTACTTATAATTAAGTTTTAAGCAATAAATGTTATCAAACTCTAGTTTACTCTGATGTTAAACATTTATGGAATTTTGTTATTGTAGAAATGTGTTTCACTATCAAATTATGAGTGAATGATCTCACACATGAGTACATAATGTAGAATTATTAAAGTTAATAACTCACCTTCTACTGGTCTCTTCAAGGATTTTCGTCTATAAAATAACATGTAGGCACTTTCAGAACCACCAAATATTTTCTCAATATCTTTTAGGTTAATCGGTTTCACCGTAGTGTCATTGAAGTCAAACCAATTATTGCCAAAATCAGTACAGTAATTCTTGGATCTTAAATCAAAATGATGTATTTCAATCAAACAATTAATTAGTTTTATATAGAATTTGGAGTAATTTTATTACCTTTTCTTATCCCATAAACTGGATTTGAAACTGCTACTTCTAGATGGTTCTTTACATTTAGAAGAAACTACATTATCTTTGGTATCACTAATAGGAGAATTGCTGCTGTTCACAGCAATATTTTGATCACTGATTTGTTCTTTTAAACATACGACATTTGTATCTTGATTTACAAAAAATATTGCATCATTCTGAAGGAGGAACTGCAAAATAAATATATTTTTTACAAAATTTAACACTTTGAAAATTTGTGGCCAAAATAAAAATAATTCCCATATCAAATCATTCATCCAAAATAAAATTCTTTTCTGGAGTTTGTATCTTTATTTTAATATGCTTTTAAATTTTTATAATTTGTCTTCACAGACAGTTAATGCTGAAAAAAGAAAAAAATCACACTGCAACAATTCTTAGATGAAAATTTCTAATACAAAAAACTGTTCTCTTCTAAACTTTTCCAAAGAAACAACACTCCTTGCTATAAATATCATTTTTATTAATTTTCTTTTAGTCTTCCTACTCCTCTTCCTTACATCTGTAATTTCTCCCTTTTCTCTCTCTACAACAGCTTTTGATGCATGAGAATTGAGAAAGAAAAAAAAGCAGCAACTTGTGAAAAGGTGAAATATACATTGTATCCATGACTAAAGAGAAAGAAATTAAAAAAGTGTACATCACAGACTAAGAGAGATACCTAAGAGAAGGAAAATTCTGATCCAAACCCTGACAGGGGGATCAGAATTTTCATATCAGTCAAAGATTAATAATCTTTTTGACTGGTATGAGTTTTGCACTGCAATCGTATTGTGATATTTTAAGCATTTTTCATGTAAAAATATAGTGGAAATTATTTAAATTTATAGCGCTATTAGTATTATTTATACCCCAAATTAAAAAATCATAAAGCATTGATTGAGAAAAGAGTTTTGAAGAAAAATGTAGCAAGTACTTCCATTGTTTCTAGCGACAAGGGGACTGAAAAATCAGATACAAACAAAGGTACAAATCCAGGCAGTAGCACTGTTTAAAATATTGAAAGAAAAGTATAACCCTTTACATTAATGACCAGTTTGAATTAAGTAATAATATTTGCTTTCCTTTATTAATCTCTCTTTTTGCATTTTAAATAAATTGTTTTTAGTGTTTCTATTTGATGTTTTATCTACAGTCATCAAAAATTGTCAAAATTCCAACAGTTTTTACTAAGTTGAAAAGCATTCTGCAATAAAAATAAGTTGAGAACCTCTGCTCTGATGCAAGAAGGGTATTATAAAAACATATGTGTTAAGCAGGAGGAAGAAAGGATGGGAGAAAAGTTAATAGCAGGCTAAAATGCTGAGCAGGCAGAAAAGATTTAGATTTAGAAAAGTTTAAAAAGAGCCATTATCAATAATAATGACTAATAATTCATTGAATGCATTGAAATGAATGGGAGAGAGAAAATAAAATTATTTGTGTAAGGAATAGGAGACAAAGGAGGATGGATGACTTACAGAAAGTAATAAAGATGACTTGTTTAGTTTCTGGCAGGATTGGAGGATTATTTCTTAGAAAGAGTTTAGAAAGAGAGGAGAACAGTTTTCTGTGTTAAAAAATGGTATGTGATATCTTGTTATTTCCCAATTGATATTATTAAGATGCAATTTTTAACAAATGTATGACTTTTTAAAAAAATTGATATGACAAATTCACATGTACAAAAAAATGCATTTCTCGACAAACTATACATATCATTCGGTCCTTTCACACACTATTGAGGTGTATGGACTTGTATGTATAGTCTGTCAAGAAATATATTTTTTTTCTAAAAATGTATGACATATTTTTTTATTTCAATTGTTACATTGTTTTTCTGACTTGCTTGTCTCTGAAGATGAGTTGTGAAAACCTAAAAGTGCTAGGGTAATAAAGATGTAAACTTTCAAAAAGCAGTATTTTTTGGGCAAATAATGTAATTTTCATATGAAAAAACTGAATAAAAATTCCCACCTTGTTAAGTGGTCCAAAATGCTTCTTAAATCTCTTATTCCATGATAAACCTGAAATTGCAGTCATTTCCTGAAACAGTAAGCAATATTTTATTCAAAGAATCCATAAAATTAATATTTGTAGTGTAGTATGAAAATAATAGTTCCAATGTTTTTCTAGAAAGCTGTAAAAGGAGAGAAATAAAACTTATACATATCAACAATCAGACATGTATTAACGTGTCCTTATTTTTTCCCATTCTCCTTTATGTTCCATACATTTTCTTCAGCAATTAAAATAACTTTCTGCCAGCTCCTATAAAAGTTATTACTACTCTGATTGCAGTTAAGGAGAAATATTACCGTTAAGGTCTGTCTTTCAACTGACAAAACAAAAAAATGCCCATTTATACTTGGTCAGAACAAAAAAAAAAAAGGATAATGAGACAGTTTACTTAAAGTGTTTGATGCAGAATTGCACTGTGTCCCAGTGTTATCATGCTAAAAAACTTTCCCATTTTTCTTCCAGCAGTCAAGAGCAATATTTTTCTAATCAGAAAAAAGCAACTGTCAGAATGTGACTAATCAGGTGGTAATTTCTTTTACAAGAGGGAATATAATCTTGTTGAACATAGGAAAAAATTAAATGGAATGTGAAGGAGAGTATATAGGAAAAGTAAATGCAAGTCTATGAAGCTTGTCTATTTGATGAAATAAATCAACCCAACACAAGAGCAACGTGCCATGGGAGATTTCCTTTCAGGAGGGCATTTTATGAAAAACTGGTCCCTATTTAAGTGTCGCACACACAGAAAACCACGACTACTCCACATGACAAGTTCATTAATCAGGAGCAAACTCAGAATGAATTATCCACCAATCAGAATGATTTTTATCCACTTGTTCACTGATGGATACACAAGTCAATAAAGATCCAACTGATAAATTAGACAAATTTAATTTTTCTAATTGAAACAGTTTACCATAAAAAAATATGATGCATTACTTTTTATGGCACTTCATATTTTTAAAATTTTTCTAAATTTTCAAAATCTTTTAGAGAATGATGATGACATTGTATCATCATTAACATAGCATCGTCAAATGTACAGTAGAGCATCATTTATCCAAAAGTCGGTTATCCGAAATGTCAGTTATCTGAGAGAATTCCAGTTGGCAAATTTAAATTTTTGCTAGTGCTATGGTGCTGCAATCTTTGGCTATATCTTGGGCTACTCCAATATTTTTTTTGTTGGTGTGTGTGTTTTAGCTGGCAGCACTGGCACTTTTGTGTGGTGTTTTTCTGAGGACTGTGTGTCATGCTGAATCGAATGTTTTTGATACTAGATCAACTTCTAAAGTATATTTTTTTTTGGTTTTTATATTTTTCAATATAGTTATTTTGTTTGTAAAAAATAAATAAGTAATTTTTAACAATACAATAACCACGATTATTATTTTAAAAAGTTTACATTAGGCTTAACATTGACGCACAACGAAATTCAATGCGACGCGACACGCAACGGAGAAAAATTTCAACATGGGATATGTTAATATATTTTTTCGTACATAATCAGTTATCCATAAAAATAAATTATCCAAACAACCTCAGTCCCCAATTCATTCAGATAAACGATGCTCTACTGTATTTATAAAACCGTGGAATAAAGTTTACAAATTTTGAAATTTTATTTTTTTATTTTCATAAATTGTATTAATTTAATAAAAAATCATTTTGAAGCTAATCAAATCTTTATTAAATGCAACAGTGTAAAACACCTTAAAATGTTTTATAATGTTTACAATTTATATTTATATGCATTATGTGAAAATATAAAGAAAATAGATCTGATAGAATTTTTCCAAATACACAAAAATTATACAAAATCAAATGAAATATTAGTGACGTAATTCAAGTTCCCATAAGACATTTGATTTCTTCCATTTAAAGATGCATCCTTTCTTTTAAAGATTGAATGTTCATAAATCACGATAGGTCAGAGCAACTAGTCTAATAACTGCTAAGTTTACAAACTCACTTTATATGAAGTGATGTAAGGGTGTTGACAATAACACTCCCATATAACCTACAATCCAATTAAAAGGAGAGACGTACTAAGCTCTGACCTCAGAAATGGGATATACAGAATCCCCATTTAATGTTAAAGATGACATAAATTAGATTCAGTATATAGGAAATAAGTGCCTTTAAAGACAGTAAAAGAATGTAAAATAGAGGAGAGGATAAATACTGTCTTACCAGAGGGAATTTATAACGACAGAAAGACAAAAATAAAATAGGACAAACCTCATGATCATTTATGATTGTTGTCTCTTCTGAACTGATTTTAAATGAAAGGTAACAAGAGTCTGTTGTTATAGTTGATAACATCACATCAATAATAAAGTTAACTTTTATTAAGACTTCTAACTTCTTGTTATTTTTAAAATAGTTTCTGTACATTGAGAAAATGTTTTGTATAAACTTTTTTATTTACTCAAATAGAATATTTTTTTCATATTCTTTAATATTTCATCAATGGATCTAAACAGTCTCAAAAATTATTTAATTCTAATAAAGTTTGAGTCTCAAAGTTTTTTAAGCAATATATTTCTACATGGAACAAATACAAATAAACGTACCAAACATAAGGTCTCTAAAGGCAGACAGAAATTCGACTGTTGCTGCAAAATGTTCACCATCAACTCGACGGGATCCTGTTTGCATTGATTTGTACTTCCGCTCTTTCCGAGGCTCGAAAAATGGCATTCTTCATCCTTCAGATAGGTTGCCATTTATTAAATTATATATAAAGTATAAATATATCAAAAACTTAAAATTTTACGTGAGCTAATTCAATTTTTTTTACCTAGTGCTTAACATTCAGCTTTATAATTTATATGTAAACAGAAAAACTTTCAATTATTAGAAATTTGCAGCATCAATTGTTTGTGAAATAAATTCTTTTGATACATCACTTCTAAACCTCATACTAATATAAATTAACAATAATATACTATTTTGTGTAATGAAATATTATAAGTATAATTAACTCCAGCATAAGCTCTAGAGTAACTTTCAAACAGAACAGATCTTAATGGTTGCATGATATGGTGAAGCTTAATGTTATAGAAATCTTGACTCGACCCAATACAGAAATCCTCAATTTAGCAGTAGTAGTTTAAGTATGGGACTTGTTTTCTCATTCTTGTCTACGCCTGCAAATCAGATTTTCCATAACAGCATAATTGCAATCAATAACACATTCTATATATACTATAGAGTTAAATGATCATTACATTTTGAATATTTTTCCAGTGATTTTCATTCTAATGCAAAAACATACTTGTTTACAAGAAAGAAAACCATTACTTTTCCTATGTTTGAATCAGAGTAAATTTTATTTTTTATCTTGAACAATGCTGCAAGCATTCTAGTACTATCTGTCATATTTATTAAAGATGATTACTGATAATGATTCGATCTCGATATATGAACATATTGGTTACATCTAATGTTTACGGTACTTAGTGAATAATAGATGATAAAATATCAGTTAAACATTTGATAGTTATAATATATTTAGGAATAGAAATGATTAAAAGACTCATAAATAAAATTTTGAAATTTTATTTTTTTATTTTCATAAATTGTATTAATTTAATAAAAAATCATTTTGAAGCTAATCAAATCTTTATTAAATGCAACAGTGTAAAACACCTTAAAATGTTTTATAATGTTTACAATTTATATTTATATGCATTATGTGAAAATATAAAGAAAATAGATCTGATAGAATTTTTCCAAATACACAAAAATTATACAAAATCAAATGAAATATTAGTGACGTAATTCAAGTTCCCATAAGACATTTGATTTCTTCCATTTAAAGATGCATCCTTTCTTTTAAAGATTGAATGTTCATAAATCACGATAGGTCAGAGCAACTAGTCTAATAACTGCTAAGTTTACAAACTCACTTTATATGAAGTGATGTAAGGGTGTTGACAATAACACTCCCATATAACCTACAATCCAATTAAAAGGAGAGACGTACTAAGCTCTGACCTCAGAAATGGNAATTATCAACAAGTGACTACTCGGAATTTACAACAGTGGGCTTTAGCAGCAGCACAACAATTTACAGATTTTGAATTTAAAGCTTCTGACAGTTGGGTTCATAAATTCAAAAAGAAGCATGGAATTCGTCAACGAAAAGTGACAAAATTTGTTTCAAAAAAAGAAACAGCGACGATCGAAGAAATGTTGGCTTCTGCAGACACTTTTCGAACCCAGACGTTCAAATTGATACCGAATTTCAACAAAGATTTTGTTATCAACACTGACCAGACAGGTAAATTATTGCAGAGTATTTACAAATTCATTTTGCTCTTTATTTTTACGACTCTGACAAAATACTTAAATTTCGGTTGTTTTCTGTTTCCAAGATGTCAGTATCAGTCGGTGTACAACAGGACCTTGGATAAAAAAGGAAGCAAAACTATTTTCGTCAAAAGGCATGACATGAATAAAGTGACTCATACATATACCGCTCAATATGCTCTCACTCTGTCTGGAAAAGTCCTACCTCAAGTATTTGTTTGTTTGCAAGAAGCAACCGGTAACTTTGGCCCCCAAAATCAAAAAACAGTAAATGAATATGCGAAAAAATATAAAAATGTCGTAATAACGTCTTCGAAATCTGGGAAACTAACAACAGGACTGTATATTGACTTTCTAAACCGTTGTTTAAAGACTTATGTGGGAAAAAAACAGTTTTTATTAATTATTGACTCTTGGGGTGGACAAACGAAGCCTGAATTGTATGACAAAATCTTTCAGGATGACATGAAATCACCGACTTGTACAATAAAAGTAATTCCTCCAAAATGTACTCCTCTTGTCCAACCTTGCGACGTATATTTTTATAGGCAGGTAAAAAATCTAATAAAGTTCGTATACAAAATTGCGCTTATCTAATTGAAAATAATAGAAAAATAAATTCCCGTGAAGATTGTATAAAAATACAATCAATAGTGCTTCATCAACTATCATCACCAATTTTTAATGAAATGATTCGGTATGCCTGGTATGCTTCCAAACTTTCTGATAAAAGAGAAATTTTTATGAATATAAACGAAGTATGTTTTCCAACAGATCTATTAAAAAAATGTTGTTCGTGTAAACAATCATCCTTTATAAATTGTNTTACGGTACTTAGTGAATAATAGATGATAAAATATCAGTTAAACATTTGATAGTTATAATATATTTAGGAATAGAAATGATTAAAAGACTCATAAATAAAATTTTGAAATTTTTAAAAATAATATTTATTGTTTACATAAATACAAAAAAATAATTCATTGATAAAAAAATTAGTAAAATAAAAACAAAAGTTTAAAATTTAAGAATTCTCCTTCTACTTACTGGAGGAAACCATCTTCCCAAACAATCAAAATCCCTAATATATGCATGGTAATGTCCTTCATGACCACTTCCACTGAAATATAATGCTGTTATTATTAAACAATTTGATAAAAATTATGAAATACATAAAAAATTTAATCTACAACAAATTTGTTGTGACATCCTGCTATTGTTATGAACCTACAAATAAGATTATATAATACATGTTAATTTTGTAGAAGTTGTTAATGTGATAATGTTTAATTGTAGATTAATTTTAAGTGATGAGCAGAAGCTTGGGAATATTTTGCTATCATTTTTACATATTGAAGCAAGGAAAGTAGCCTATAAAAAAAGGTCGACTCCTCTGTCAGGACTGTATGTTCCTGAAGTGTGTAAAGGATATTATGAAAGAAAGAAGACACTTATGTGGTACTTCTATGTATTAGAATTTTGTAATATGATAATGTTAAATTGCACATTTGCTCAACTTCTAATTTTCTTAATGAGACTGTAAAGGGCAGTTATTCTGAAGTAATTGAAGTCAGCTTCATATACTAACCAATCAAAAACTGCAGATCAGTTGTGCTCATTGAAAAATTAAAGTTTTAAACTTTTAAAGTTGTTGTATTCTTTCAAAACTGCTTTAATTATAAATTTAAAAAGTCATATTCTATTCTGTTGTATATTTCAAGTGAAGAAACCATAATAATAAAGGCAACATTATAACAAATTTCACAAATTTATCACATGCAAAATCTGAAAAATTAGAAAAACACAGGACAAACGATTCATCTCCTTCAATGCAAGATGTTTATAATTGTAAATAAATATTTTAATACTATGTCCATGTCAACAGCCTCTCTTAAAATAAAAGAAGCTGTAAACATGGATATTAAACATTTTTTTAAATAATTTAAAATATAATTTAAATTATATTTTGAGTCCCTAACAGTTAATCTAACCTTCTATAAACACATGATGTATGTGTAATGAGGACAGACAAAAGTGCTGCACCACTGCCATATTGCCTAATCATGGATGAGTTGTCAGGCTTTAGCCATCCAAACATGCCAAGATGCCAACATAACAAGTCTTAACAGTACAAAGCAAGCAGTAATAATCACTAAATTTTTTTCTATACTTAATTAATTCAGGAAAGAAGAATTCTTTACAGGAAGACCTCAAAAATATTGGAAGTTTCCATATAAAATGAAAAAGAAGTAATCAAGGGAAAAAAATGAGTGAAAGAAATGGACCATCATCTGCAGACTGTTCGAACTGTGTACTAGTAAAGGTAACTGCTAAATGGAAATCAAGAAACTTTCATAAATTGGACCATGCAAGAAAGAACTATTATTATTACTAATCTAACTGCAATCATTAGACAAACATTGTTACTCTAATAATAAAAATATTTGCTCACCAATTACCAATTTTCCATAAAAATTAAATATAAACTTACCTGTGAATGATTATGCTAAATAAATCATAATGAGTATCTTCAGAATTCTTTTGCTAAAAAAGAAAATTTACCAATTTAGTCAAAATTATATAGTGAATAATAGAAATTACAATGCAATAATAAACATAGTATCAAGCAATAATAAATATTATTATTATATTACTTACTTCATCACAGTAAGGAGACATATCGATCTCCATTGGAAAAATAAACTTCCCTTTTTCCTGAAAAAGCAATTTTATCTTGAAATTAAAAAAGTAAATTTGTATTTAATTGCATGTACTTATTCACTTTTACTAATTTCATAAATATTTTACAACTGATCTGAGAATATAAACAAATAGCATGATAATATTTCTAATTTAAAAAACTGTAAATTCAGTCTTTTATAAAATAGTGTTTACAGAAAAATACAGTCAAGAGCATTAAGACAGGCTTGAAGTTAAAAAGAACCATAAAGGGTGCGTTTGCTATCACAGAAAAACAAGAAAGCAGACCTGGTGTAAGGAACTGAATCTGAGCGTTATGTTTAGTTAATTTTTATTTTGCTTTTTATTCTATTTTTGTTTGGGGTTTATGTTTCGTTAGGTCAAAGGTTCCCTCACCACTCACCTTATTAACAAAACCAAAAGAAAAAAAAACCAACTCACCGACGAGACAAAGTGTCATAGGAAAAACTTGCACGCACTTGCGCTCCCAAGCAGAAAAAAAAAAAGTTCTGCAATAAGAAAAGGGGGGATACACCACAAGCACTAAAGTAGGGAATGTGCTAAATCTTATAAGAATTAAACATCCTGAAAATGGTAAGAAAGAATAATGTAAAAGGTTAGCGAGTATTGTCGGAAACTAGACTTGTAAGGAACCAAGTCTGAGCTTTATTTTTATTTTACTTTTATTTTGCTTTCATTATATTTTGTTTGGGGCTTATGTTTAGTTAAGACGAAGGTTTCACCGCGTAAAGTACCCGTTAGGGAACGGCTATTTCCGGCACACAGTAGTGTCGATAATCGTTGGAAAGTCGGAAAAAATAATATAGTACTTTACAGACTGCCAGGCAAAGAATGAAAACTAAGTGTTAGATGTAAGTATGTAAATGAAGGGAGTGATCCCAGAAAGTTTTGTGACATCACCTCAGAGTATAAAACCAGTACATCAAGAGAAGATGATAGAGGTGAGCTCCAGATAGCAGCGAACAAGGGAAGTCTGAAAGCGATCGAGGTGATTCCAAGGTAATAGAAGTTATTTCCAGATAGAAGGTCTTGAGAATTGAGGAAAAATCTTGAGGATTGAGGACAAAAGATAAAAGGTTCCTAGTATATTGAAGTGACGGTTAGGACATTAGTTTTGTAAGACTTGCTGTACATAGGTTAAGGATTTGAGTTTTGTTGAGTTCCAAAGGGGAATAGTTTTAAGTTAGTACATACATTGAATTGATTTTGTCGGGTTTGTTCATATTGTTGATTTTCCTTAAATAAATTGTTTTTTTCTTGTTACTAATCTTGTAAATAGTCATTACTTGAGTCCTATTAAATATTTGATCTTTGATTAACTTTGTAAATATTTATTTCGGTGCACGCATAAGTCCAGGCATGGCAAATTAACTGCAAATCCACTTAAACTACCCGTTAGGTTAACAGACCTTTCACAGGCACACAATTTTGTGTTGGCATTTGTCTTACTAATTAAAATATAGTACTTCATACTGTTATAAACTCAGGAACACTCACAAATTAGACACTTGACAAGTGGAGAATATTTGCTTGGTCCATCGAGTCTTGGTTTCTTTTCTACTAAGCTGGCAGGATCAAAATACGGTACCAGCAGCACAAATCCCTGGCCCCACCTTGCCAACCCTACAAGTTGGTAGTGATGGAATAAAGGTCTGGGAATGTTCTTCTAAGACAAACTTGACCCCCTAATACCCCCAGAAACTATCTCAATATTAATGCTGCAGACTATCTCAATATTGTTGCCGATCATGTGCCCCCATCGATGGCTACAGCATTCACTGATACATTCACTTTCAACAGAACAATGCACCCTGCCACTGTACTCAATTGGTCTTAGATTGGTTCAGTAAACGTGACTCATTTCCATTTGTTTCATTGGTCCAGTCACCCAGTCTCAACCCCATCAACTATTTGTGGAAAAGGGGAGAAAGGCTAGAAATACCACCAACTATGGGCAGTTATGTCAGCATGGATCAAAGTTCTTGAGCAACGGTTCCAACAGCCAGTAGAATCGATGTCTACAAGAATTATGGTTGTGTTCAAAGATAAAGGAGGTCCAATTTGTTATTAGAGACGCCATACAAGTGTACAAGAGGATGGTCTTATATGCAAAATATGTTCTTATAAGCAAAGTATGTCATATGCTTCAAAACTACAAAAACAAACAATTTTCACGTATAAGAGCCATATTCCTATACACATAGTACAGGAATATGATAATGATTCTAGGAATGGTGCAATGTCAAACATCATAGTTTAGTTTATAGAAAAGTAGCAGAAGCAAACTGAATAAAATTCCAACGATTCTTCCATTAACAGTCTACGTTGCATTCACTTCTGTAAATATTATGTTTCTGTAAATAAAAGTTGTTTGCCAAACTCCTTTCAACTTTAAATACATGCTGAACATTATTCTAACAAATAATGATCCGTAGTTATACAGGTTGGATTACGTGTCACTCCAAAAATATAATCCATCATAAATTACAGTTATGACATATAATGAAAATGTTTGGTTCAATTAAAGCAACATATAATCATAATTTTCTGCAGAAAAAAACAACATGTACAATTACATTAGTACATTTCATTTCACAAATTCTGATTGAGCTGCTACAATGTGAAGTACAAAGAATGAATCTATGTTAGTAAGTGAAGAATATGGATTATATGAATTTAACAGCTTCTAAAGCATATCTCAACTCATTATCATACTCTTTGTAAATACTTTGGAGCTCTTTTTGAGGAGGCACTCAGACAAGATTTGTGAAAGAACCTAGTTAATGCTCCTCATTTACCATAATTTCATACTTAGAATTTATGAAATGATATTTTTCATGACATGTACATGTTTACATGACCTAAGATTATTCCTATCATCAACACCAAATTTTCATTCAAGCTGACAAATTTTCATCCATTAAATAATGATGAAAAGAGTTTTGTAATGACTTTTCTTCTTTGGTTTCTTTTAAAGCTCTATTCTGGTTATGGTTTTTCATAAAAACCAAAATCATAATTTTGTAATAGAGACCAACTATATCCTAATGCACACACACAACCACGTAAGTAAACAGCAATGTAGAGAGTAACTGAATTGATCAGAAATAAAATAAACATCACTCCTCTCTTTCCCCTGCCATCACTACTTTAATCTCCCCCGAATCTTGTCATGCTTTCTGGACATATTCCACACCTGCCGAACTTCCGTAGTGTGAATTATTCTAACCTTCCTTACAGTTAGCAATTTCATCAAGATGACAGTTTAAATGATAATTTTACAAAATAAATTTTTGACTCTAACTAATTTGACTGGCCTGATAATAAGCTTATAATTTTTGTAGAAATATTACTATTCCATGTTTCAAATAATTAGTTTACAAAGCAATATTTCAACTTCATTAAAGTTAATTAAATGACAAATGCACTTACCTTGTAACGTTCTCCTTTAGAGAGATCGAAACAAAATCTCAACAGAGAAAATGTTAAGATAGGCGGAAGTTTTCTAATTTTTACACCCTAAAATAAAATAAATTTTATAAACATAATTATTTTAACATGCCAAAAAAATAAAACTATTTGCTTTAGAAAAACAGAGAAAAAGTAAACAGTGGGAAGGATGGTCACCAAGTTTATATGGGCAGGTGTAAAAGCAGCTTTCACAAACATCAAACCTTATTCCTGATCAGTCAGGACCAAACCTTAAATCAGGAAGATGACTTAGAAATGTCACCTCAATGGGAAGAGATGCTCAGATCTTTGATATCTGATAAACATACTTAGGCTATGGAGACAAGTTACTCATCTAAGAGATAGTTTCCAGATATGGGCAAAGTACCAAAGTTAGAAGAAGAGCATAAACAGAACAGGCACATATTAAGAGATCAGACTACTTCTTGGATTTCTATTTCTTACAATGTGGCACCAAGATTTACTCAATTTGCTCTGGGAAACACAGAAAATTTGTTATATAGATAATTTGTTAAATAAAAAATGCACTAGTAGTGAAAAGGAAATAAAGTATACCATAAAGATGTTTTGTTCCCTACAAAAATATCCTCTTATTTCCATCAATAAAAGAATAAAATGTTATGCATACATCTTACATGGAAAAATCAAACAGAAGGTAAAGTATTTTTTTTACCAAAATTAAGAAAAACTGTTACAATTAATACTGTATAATATTTATTCTTACATACTTATATTGCAAAAAATCTACAATTTTTTCCTTTTTTTTTTAACAGATGCTGTTTTACCTTAAATGAGTGATTCTAACTTTATTTAAATAATTAAAAATTTTATTCAGAACATTTTATTGCTGAAGAATGCTTCTTATAGTTTTGATTTTATTATAAAGGATACTATTTGAAACTGTCTCAGTTAGAGGTGTTTTGATCTTGTCAAAAGAAAAATACAGTTATTGTACTGTACTCTTAATATAATAGTGCAAGTTGCAGAAATGAGTCTTCATTTTAACCAATTTTAACATTTATCAATACAAAAACTAAGATATCTTTTATCTCTGGCATCATAATATAAAAATTAAGCATTCTCAAATAGGATATTATTAAATGTAAACAAATATATTTTTAACATTCCACAGAAAAATTTATCTTTACTAATGTATATAATAAACAACTATCCTATATGTCTGTATTGTAAAGCAATCTGTCAAACTATTGGCTATATTGAAGCTTATTTAACCATTCTTATGTATATGTCTCTTTAATCCAGAAAAATTCCAGTAGACTGTTTTACAGCTTCAAGGTCAGGAACATTATTTATTGAAATATCAGATTACATTTGCATTTCGAGTTTATTTTGTTTCTAGGCCCCTGTTCAGTGCTATATTACGATAAATTGAGAAACTATTAGTAACACAACAAAAAATACAAACTCATGCTGGTATTTTTTGTTGTGTTACTAATAGTTTCTCAATTTATTGTAACTTTTCTGGATTAAAGAGACATATACATAAGAACAAATAGACAGCTAACAAATTATATAAAATTGTGAAGCTTATTTAACCAATTGGATACAAATCAATTTTGCTAGCAGTGGGTAGTTAAGCCATCATCTCTTGATAATTTTAATAATTATTATAAATTAATGGTTTCATTTATTATATTTCATGTTTGGTTATATATAAATTAACATTTCTGGAAATGACAAGTAGATGGAGGTCTAGATAGAGTAACTGGCAATGCATCTGCAAAATAAAAAGTTGCAGGTTTGAGTCCCGTTCAAGGTTGATTCTTTCTTCCAGAAATTCTAAATTAAAATTAATATATAATACATTAATTTCAATTATAATTATTAAAATTATCACAAAATGGTGACTTAACTGTTTACCTCTAAATAAATTATTTCATATTTAATTATTAACTTACAAGGGGACCTTACGGTCTCGGAAATTCAGTTCGGGATGAGACTTGGCAGGTTCGTAGTATACCTCAAGGGTGTCCACCCAGAAGAATTGTAAAGTGCACTAGCCAGAAGATTCTGAGAAAAAAGGCTCTAAAATTTTAAGCGCAGCTTATATACCGATCGATTCTACCTTATGGTAGTACAGCGAAGTGGCTCAGTCCGTAGCGTACTCGCCTGCAACGCGGTGCGACCTAGGTTCGATCCTACCTTCTGCAAACTTTTTTTTTTTTTTTTTGTTGGTTTAAAAATTATAACAATTTTTAAATAAAGTTAATGACGTAAAAATATTATCAATTAAATCATAAATACTTTTATTTTATTTATGAAATGACTGTTACAGCGGATTAAAATGTGAATTAAAGATAACATTTTATTTTTCAAAAGTTGAATAATTTCAAATGCATTTTTAATAGAGGTAAATTAAAACTTCAATTATTTTGTTATCTGCAACCGATGAACTTACCACGATAGGTCGAAAGGTTATGTGAAAGCGTCACTTTTGCTGCTGACTTGTGAGAACTCACTGAATGATTAGCTTCTAGGTGTGAAAGTTGACAGTTATCCGACAAAATGATATTTTTAGAAAGTTATGTTATGATTTAACTTGTAAGTAAGTAAACTGATTACGTAGTGAGTCTCACACGATATATATAGGTTTACCCACCCTTATTATTCTAGAAACTCACTGTCAAACTAACGTGCTAGTTCATTTTTGACTTTCGCAAGATTGGAGCATTCTGTACTGCGAAATATTATCGGAATTTTTAAGCTATTGTGAATTGAAAATGTCTGTTAATGAAGAAATTGCGAAAGTATCAGAAGCTGCAGATGAAATCAGTCAAGATTCATTATACAGTGAAATGTCGAAGTTGAGGTTAAAAGATGCGGTCATTTATTACGAAAGCTTGCTTGCTGAAAATAATTTGATTACATCGGAATCTTCAACTTCAATTTCTCGTGAAGCAATGTTGATGGGTGAAGAAATTTACGAACGTACTATGGACATGCTGGCTGAAAAAATACTTGTGACTGATGATGAACTTGCTCATGAAAATGAAAACTGTGACGAGGAACCTTTTGAAAATGTCGAAGACCATAGCTCATCAGATGAATATGAACCAGAAGGAAAAAAAAAGAGAGAGGTAGACCATCTTTCTTTTGATTACAAAATTAAAGTTGTTAATATCGCAAAGGCTCACCCCACGTGGAATCTACAAACATTGCAAAAAAAAGGATGCAGCCGGTTAAAAAAGAAGGAATATTTATCCCAATGGGAAGAAGAGATAAAAAAAGGAGGAAATCAATTTGATAAGTACGAAACAATCAATTCCTGGACACGTGATCGTTTTGTTGAAGCCCGAGAGAATTATCAACAAGTGACTACTCGGAATTTACAACAGTGGGCTTTAGCAGCAGCACAACAATTTACAGATTTTGAATTTAAAGCTTCTGACAGTTGGGTTCATAAATTCAAAAAGAAGCATGGAATTCGTCAACGAAAAGTGACAAAATTTGTTTCAAAAAAAGAAACAGCGACGATCGAAGAAATGTTGGCTTCTGCAGACACTTTTCGAACCCAGACGTTCAAATTGATACCGAATTTCAACAAAGATTTTGTTATCAACACTGACCAGACAGGTAAATTATTGCAGAGTATTTACAAATTCATTTTGCTCTTTATTTTTACGACTCTGACAAAATACTTAAATTTCGGTTGTTTTCTGTTTCCAGGATGTCAGTATCAGTCGGTGTACAACAGGACCTTGGATAAAAAAGGAAGCAAAACTATTTTCGTCAAAAGGCATGACATGAATAAAGTGACTCATACATATACCGCTCAATATGCTCTCACTCTGTCTGGAAAAGTCCTACCTCAAGTATTTGTTTGTTTACAAGAAGCAACCGGTAACTTTGGCCCCCGAGTTCAAAAAACAGTAAATGAATATGCGAAAAAATATAAAAATGTCGTAATAACGTCTTCGAAATCTGGGAAACTAACGACAGGACTGTATATTGACTTTCTAAACCGTTGTTTAAAGACTTATGTGGGAAAAAAACAGTTTTTATTAATTATTGACTCTTGGGGTGGACAAACGAAGCCTGAATTGTATGACAAAATCTTTCAGGATGACGCGAAATCACCGACTTGTACAATAAAAGTAATTCCTCCAAAATGTACTCCTCTTGTCCAACCTTGCGACGTATATTTTTATAGACAGGTAAAAAATCTAATAAAGCGTATACAAAATTGCGCTTATCTAATTGAAAATAATAGAGAAATAAATTCCCGTGAAGATTGTATAAAAATACAATCAATAGTGCTTCATCAACTATCATCACCAATTTTTAATGAAATGATTCGGTATGCCTGGTATGCTTCCAAACTTTCTGATAAAAGAGAAATTTTTATGAATATAAACGAAGTATGTTTTCCAACAGATCTATTAAAAAAATGTTGTTCGTGTAAACAATCATCCTTTATAAATTGAGCAAGATGTCGAAATAGTTTTTGTTTTCAATGTTTTTATGATAATTATCATTCTGGTGATTGTACATAAAATAAAAAATTGACAAATAAAGACAATATTGTAAAAATTTTTTATGTTTTCAATGTTTTTATGATAATTATCATTCTGGTGCTTGTATGTAAAATAAAAAATTGACAAATAAAGACAATATTGTAAAAATTTTTTATATAAATAAAATTATTTATATATATTTTATATTACTGAATATAATTTATATTAAAAATATATAAATAAAATAATAACATATATATTAAATAAAACCCTACCCGAAAATTTGTTAAAGTGGTAATTACAGTTTTAATTTACCTCTATTAAAAATGCATTTGAAATTATTCAACTTTTGAAAAATAAAATGTTATCTTTAATTCACATTTTAATCCGCTGTAACAGTCATTTCATAAATAAAATAAAAGTATTTATGATTTAATTGATAATATTTTTACGTCATTAACTTTATTTAAAAATTGTTATAATTTTTAAACCAATAAAAAAAAAAAAAAATTTTGCAGAAGGTAGGATCAAACCTAGGTCGCACCGCGTTGCAGGCGAGTACGCTACGGACTGAGCCACTTCGCTGTACTACCATAAGGTAGAATCGATCGGTATATAAGCTGCGCTTAAAATTTTAGAGCCTTTTTTCTCGGAATCTTCTGGCTAGTGCACTTTACAATTCTTCTGTGTGGACACCCTTGAGGTATACTACGAACCTGCCAAGCCTCATCCCGAACTGAATTTCCGAGACCGTAAGGTCCCCTTGTTAGTGTTATTATAGTCCAATAAGTTGGCACATCGTCAGGCTTATTATAGCCCAATAAGTTGGCACATTGTATAACCTTTTATTGTATTATAAATTTTAAGGTTATACTGTCTGCAATTCTGCATGACAATTTTCTGACAAAACAAAAAGTAATCAAAAATTGAATTTATTCCAAATATTTTTTATAAGTGATATTTTTTCCTTAAAACAATTAACACTTTAAATCTACAGACATTTTCAAGATTCCATGTGAATGGAATGGCTAAATGAAAATGGAAACTCAGTAGTATGTCAGTATGGATTCTGATTTAAATAAGATAATCACACAACCTTATCTCAGACATGTATTTCATCTCCTATAAATGTGCACAAATTGCTATATGTTTAGTTTGCACTAAGGACAAATTAAACATTTATACAGGGTGCATAGTAAAGTCCTTATACACTGATACTGATAAGTCATACACAACATATAACATGCAGTAATAGAAGGAAGCATGAACACACAAGAAAATGAGAAACGCACATTATTAAGTCACACATGAGAAATGAATGAGGACACTTGAACAAACACAACAAACACGCATTTTACTGTCTGCACATAATGTGTATGTTAGCATTCGTGCTTTATTTGTATATTCTTTCAAACTAAATCGGTCATACTACATAACTTTGTAATAGACTTTTCTTCTGTATCATCCATCATTATTAAAATAGGAGCACGAACTTCCAAATTCTACCACTAACAGTGCTGCAATTGGTCTTGCCTTGCAATCACTTTACTATAACTATTTGTCACATTCATAATTGAATTTGTTTCCATTCATCACTTATATGATTGTATAAAGACTTCACTATGCATATGAAAAGCTTGTTAACAAAACATATTTGTCTTGAAAGAATTCATATAAATATTTTATAAAATAATAAATTGTACTCACTTTTTTGGCATCTACAAGTTTACAACACATACTACATTTGTACTGATTTTTCCCTTTCATCACTTCTTTGTGGACGAATGTAGACGTTAAGCTTTCCTGCAGACTATTAAATCCCGAAACGGTAATATTGAGATCTAAAAAATCCTCCTAAAAATAATTAAATTAAATATATACTTTGTAATTATTAAATTATTTTAATTATATTAAAATAACTTACCTCTTTCTCACTAATTTTGCTACAAACTTGACATACAATCTGCAATAAATACGTATGTCATTACTTGGACTAGATAACAATGTAATTTTTACAATAATTCTGCATTAAATCAAATAGTAAAATAAATTGTGTTGACATTCCTAATGATTAAAAATTCAAAAGTTTAAAAAGACTTTCAAAAGAGAAATTTTTATCATTTAATTCTTAAGAAATTTATAATTTATACAGTAGAGACAAGAAAGAAATGCATTTTGGAAAAAAGTTGGACATTTTAAATTATTTTTTTTATTTTTTAAAGTTCTCTCTGTATTCACAGTTACAGTAGCACTGGCTGTATTCTTGCAGAATGGATACTTGTTTGATTTGCAGGAAGACTTTTGAAGAAAAATTGCATGTAATTTGTTTTCCCAGATAATTATTACGACCTTAATTATTAAATACCTATAATGTTTTAATCTGTATGTAATTAAACATTGCTTGCAGTAAAATAAATGTTGAAAATAGAGCTCTGATAGTAAATTTTTATTATGTCATCTTATAAACATCTTACATTGATGACTCAATGGCAAACCAGTTAAGGTGCCAGCCTACCATTCTGGGGATCCAGAATTGAACATGGATGAGTCCAAAAAACACCAAGAATTTTTCGGGGAAGTGTCAAAAACCCCCCATTTTTCAATCCATATAGGTTGGGCCCTGTTCCTTACGAACTACACATTATAGGTCTGGCTTAACCGATTCTGGGCATACTAAAAAAAACCCCCTCTTACCCCTATGGGAAAGAAATAGTTAAAAAAAACCATATCTGTAATTTTTAGTTACATAATACAAAAATGATAGTGTAGAGAGGAATTACTTACTACCTACACTTACTAATATTTTTATGGTATGTTATATTATCACTGTTTTCGTTGTTCTTTCATAAGGAAATTCCAGCAAATAGAAAACAGACAAATAGATGACAATGGGAATTTACAGGTCTACAATTTCTTCAAATTGCAACCCAATAATCAGTGGTAGACTGACCCACCAGGAAATTAGGAATTTCAATTTGCAATTTGCTCAGTGGTTGTTCCTTATTTTAATATACTACATTTTATATATTATAATTCACTTGAGAAAAATAAATCAATAAATAAAATAAATTTTTGCCTATTGTGTTAAATTTTAAGTCTTATTCTAATTTGAGTCATAGGCTACTATAGTACAGCCTATATAAACAGATGACCGGATCATGTCAAATATGGTCTATTATTTGTAATTTTAAAATAACTGGCCCCAAATTGGACATGAGCCATCGCGAAATGCCTGTGCAAACAGATATTTGGCTCACCACATCATGCATACAAATATAAACACCAACTGAAACATGATGTATACCAAATAGACATCCACAACTGCCGTTACAAATGAATTTGACACTAGAAGGAAGCGTTAGGTGCAACTCTTTTCTTCCACTTTAATCTAAATTATTTAGTTAAATATTATAATTATTAATTCTATTATGAGATGGCAATGAACGCTTCCCACTAGTGTCAAATTTATTTGTAATTCAAGTTCATTATTTCCAAATTACATCCCAATTACTTACGGCAGTTGTGGATGTCTATATGCATTTTGTAACTTCTAATTTCAAAATAACTGATTGTGACTTGAACTATAGACTGTCACAATAAAGCCTCTATTGGACTAATTTGCATCATCACTTGGATTTGATCCTGAGTCCTTAGATCCATATGCTTTTGCCTTATCATCCAGCAACGGATGATATTATATGTATATATCACTACTGGCTGAATGGCCAAAATATACATATATATACAGGGTGGGGCAGAAAGAACAGATGTTTTTGAAATGGCTACAACTTACCACCAGGTGAAGTGAAGTGACAGATATGTGGCAGGTAGCGTGAAAGTAGTAAGGTCTTAGCATCATCTTTTCAGTTGAAGATATGGAATCATGGATGATAGAACACAGGGTATTTGTGCATGACTAAAGAAACAGTCATAAGCAAAGGGGATCACTCAGTCATACACACCTGATGAGAATACATTTCTGCATTCTTGCATACGATGGAAATGTATTCCCATCAGATGGGACAACAGCCCACACAGCTAGAGCATCAATTGACGTTATTTGTCATCTTTTCCCTGGTTGCCCCATTTCCAGGTTTGGTGACATTCATTGGCCTCCTTGTTTGCCTGACCTATCCATGTGTAATTAGGTCTTGTGGAGACATCTCAAGACACATGAATATGAACATAAGCCCATTCTTTGCAAGAACTGAAGGAAGCTATTCGCATGGATGTCACCAAAATTGCCTCCAAAAATGCATCACCGATAATGGACACCACATGGGAGATGTTGTTTTCCACACTTGATTCTGTAAAATGCTATTTCAATATAAACTCACATCTTCCAACAAATATCTTTTGTAATAACAATTATAGATGTTGTGATTTTTTAAAAAACTCTGTCCTTTCTGCCCCACCCTGTGTGTGTGTGTGTGTGTGTGTGTGTGTGTGTGTGTGTGTGTGTGAATTTGGCATATATCTATGGTCCAAAACTAGTTGCCAGTCTAATGCCAGTTACTTATTTTTCTCATTTATCTATAGGATAACTTGTTATAGTGTTTATTATTTTCAAATTACTATCATTTAAATATTATCCCATTCCTCCTTGCATAAAGGAGAAATGGGGCATTCATTGTAATCCTAAAACATTTTGTAAGCAGTCTATGTTTTGCCATTCTGTTTTACATGGAAGGCAGAAGATTCACAATATACAATAACAAGAAAGATTGTTTCTTCTCAAAGACAAAAATAGAAAATATATTTATGTAGACAGTGCACCATTCCTTCCCTATTTTCCCTGAATGAATTTTAACAATTTTAAATTATGATTTTGATTTCTTCCTGATGAATTTTATATTCTTTTCTAACACTTTTTACATTAATCTTAGAGAATGAATTTAACCAGTTCATTCTTTATATAAAAACTGAAAAAATCTAAACTATTTTATAATTTTAATAGAAATAAGTAAAATTTTGATGTAATTTTCCAAAAATGCAGGCATTTCAAAGTAATTTGTCATATAGGTATTAAGAAACTTTAATCAATAAACTTAGGTTTAATGGTTCATAAGAATCAAAAACAATGCAAGTCAGAAAACAATATTTCACTCAGAAATGATGTTCTGTGCACAAAAATGCAAGAAGCAATTAACTAGAAGGTGCAGAACTGCATTCCAAAAAAACATTATAAAATTATTATATACAATGAGTGATGTACTCCAGAATAAATTTTTAGAGGAATGTTATGTATATTCTATTACTTGACATTCCATTTTGTTAATAGGTCACTAAAAGATGATTTTAAATATTCAAAAATGCTTTTTTTTTTCCAATTAACAATTCAATGCAGAGTTGTTATGATGAATGCTTTGTTCCGAAAAGTTACTATGCATTGAGAAATTTGTAATGGCATTGCTTATGAGTCCTATAAGTTGTATGTCCCGTGTTTCCATTTTGCAGTAGATTGTGTTACTTTATGGTCACAGATGTTCTTGTTTTTGGAGGACTTCATTGCCAACTGCATAATCTCCCATGAAATCTTTCCTGGTAAGCCTCCAGACTTCACTCTTCCACAGTAGAGACATTTTCTCTGGTATTACAGTTTTCTCCTAAAGCATTTGCTGTAAGAGAAAACTGCAGTATCGTAGGTGAAACATCACTTCTATTAACACTTTACATTCTTTAGAAAAGATTTTATTTATTATATTTTGACATACTATATTAAGTACATAAAACAAACGTTTCTGCACATTTTTAGCACTTCTATAATGTATGATTCATTCAACAAATATAAGCAAATGCCAATTAGTATTACTTGCGAGAACGTACAGTTTTAAAATACAATCATTCAAAGAAGTTTGCTTGTATTTAATTAAAATAGATATTTTACAATTAGTTTCATTTGTTTCTGTATGTAAAAAATGTATCATTCTCCAAAAATATAAACCTCAATAATAACATTAATATTAAAATTTGTATGTGATTTCTGACAGAATATGTTCTGTCAGAAATCACATACAAAAATTAACCAGAATCAACTAAATTTAGGTTATTTCAACTGATAATTTACAAAATTTGCAATTCTCATTGAAAATGAATACAAATGAAGCTCTTTTCTTTCAATTTTTAGTACATTTTTATATCAGATTAAATTGTAATGTGCAAAGATCTTGCAGCTGTTTATAACATGAGAAAAAGACTGAAATTTGAAAAATTGAAAATTATAAATCAAAAGTGACATTTAGAATCCAGTGTAATGCATTCAAAAGAAGTGCAATTCTTAATACCTTTCCTGGATCTTTAATTACTCATACTCATAACTTCGCACGCAAAAATTATATTGTTGAAATGTTCCAATTTTATTCATTTGAAATAAATAACATGCTGAAATATCAAAAAAATTAAAAATAATTTAATAAGACAAAGCTTATTTTACATCTGGGCCATTTGAACGAGTTACCTGACTGACTGTGGATCCATGATATAACTGAGAAATTAAATTCTTCCCCGAGGTACCTATTAGAGAAGTTTCTATGGCACTAAACAGTATGCGATTCAGTTCTTGTACGTCATGTTGCTGCATTTCCTGTAAGTGTTAAAATAATTATAAACTTCACTTACTTAGTTAATAGTGATATGATTAAAGCAGAACTCATAATCAGTAATTTCAAAAACATTAACTCTGAATTATGTTTCCCACTATCACTAGCAGACAACAGGAGTTTTGGATTGAGTTACACACCAGGCAAGTGTAGACTTGAGTTTCTTTTATGTATTATACCATTTTTTGAATGTGTACAAAGCTGCAGTCCATTTGCAATTGAATTCTGAATACTATACATCTATATATAGTATTATTTGTATGTTTCTGAGACTCTTAAAAGCAGAATACTATAAAGATACTTTCTATAATTAAAACTGTTATTGACAATAAAGCATACATGAACCCTAATCCTATCTAATTAACTTCAAATCAGATTAAGTCTCAAAATCACAAAATAATTAAATTTCTACTTTTGTAATACAAGACTCGGGCAATGTGCCAAGAGGAGAGTGCCTTCTGGAACGATTTTGTCCAGTAAACTAAACTCCATTTAGACATTACACATATAAAAACCCTCATAATACACACAGCAGCCCACTGGCAAGACACAAACCCACAATCAACTACCAGTATTCAATGATGTTATCCATTCGGCTACTATGGGCCAGAGTTCTTCAATAAGTAACATATTTATCCTAGAATTAGAAATGTCCTAAACAGTCAGTTTACTCTATAAAACTACCTTTGATGTAATGAAATGAGATTGACAAATGAAGTGTTCTTCAGTCCCCACAGCGTTTTAGGAGCAAAATTTGCTACAAGAGAGAATTGCTGTCACTCTTTCTTTCTACCACTATTTTTGCTAGTTCTGTTGTACACCTGCTATGTACAACTATTGTCATGATGCTCCACAAAACAGAGGTGGAGCATTCTGTCAGTGGCTCCTATATATAATAGTTTCAACCCAGTTAGTGGATTTTTAAGGGTATTAGCATAAACTCCAGATTTTTATACCCCTCCACCCAACTGCTTGTAGATGAGGAGCTTTTTCTTCTTAAATTAGCAGTTTGCAGTACTGGTTATTTTCTCAGTAAGTTTAACTATTTAAAACTATCTTTAAAAGAAAAACTCCAAATTTAGTCAAATGTTATATCGAAAAACTAAATTTCCTTAACTCAATGTTACAATTCAGGGGTTTGAATTTAACAAATACAACTACTTTGTTGACTGACAATTTCATGGACCCTGATATGACAGATTTTGAAAAGAGTTAAAATCTAATTAATCCATAGCATCTGCTTGATGGAAATTATAATGAGAATCAACCTGCTGCGACCATTAGTACAAGGAATGTTCACAAATGCATTAGCAATTACAGTTTACATTCTATCTTGGAAATGATATTTGTATTTACCACAGTAAAAGTTGTTTGTATCAAAAATAAAAGTTTGTTTTGTAGTTGGCCATGGCATCTACGGATACAATGAATGATAGGCATTATTGAATCTATGTATTAGTCATTATGCAAGAGTCAACAGTTTAAACCATGGCTCAGCATTCTTGTCAGATTATTTTAAAATTTATTTAAACTATCCTGACAAAAATGCTGAGCCACGAAATTCGCAACTAAATGTAATAAACACAAAACTGGGATTTCAGTACTACTACCACAAATCTTTAATTTATCAGCAACTTTTCTCTAATTAATTAATAATAAATATTTTTGGCTGTCTTCATCAGCCATCATCAGATTTAATGGACAACAATCGAACAGAACTCCTCCAAAAACATTGTCACTCATGAAGTACTTGAAGAAGTTGCATTCAGTTGATGTTTGTTAAACCTGAAAACAATTGACGAAGGCAGTTAAAGATGTTTGTTATAAATTAATTAGAAAAGTTGCTGGAGAAATTAAAAGCTTATAATAGTAGAAATTGTCAGTATTTCATCCACAAAAGACAGCATATATAAATACTACTACTTATAAATTGCTATAACGATTACAAAATAATGTTGGATTTTTCTATTGTACAAAACAAATAAGCAGTAAAAGATGATAAGGGATTCCTTATCATCTTTTACTGCTTATTTGTTAGCAAATTGAAATTTTATTACGTTACCCAAACAGACCTTCATTTGGGCTTCAAACCAGAGATGTACTTCAGTTTCTACAAGAGATGTTCACAAGCACAAATGTTTGTAGACAGATTGCATTTACAAGTTTCAAAAATCTAACAATACAACTGTTGTAATAAAATATTTGTGTTAACATGTCAGATATAATGCTGTTTTGAAATGAACAGTGCAAAGATGGTTTGAAAATTTTTGAGCAGATGAATGACTTCAACATAAAAGATGGAATCAGAAAGAAGAAAATCAACTATATGTATAACAATATTTTACATACAAAATTGAAATTCAATCCTTTTGCTAGGAAAGAACAGATTACAGAGTTTTACTTTATGACAGAATATTAACTAGCAATAGGAAATTGCATTGTTTCACAATTTGAAACTAAAATATTTAAATTGATGCAATGCAAACATGCATCAAATTTAAAGGTTATTATTGTACTACATATTTTGTAAGAGCAGAGTTTAAATAATATTTTTTATAATGATTTTAAACTTGATAACTGTCAGAATAATCATGTTTCAAATTTATTGATATATTATATGAAAGTTTCATGGTTTCAATAGTTAAAAAAACTAAAAAACAGCACACTTATAAACTGGAACTGTATGATTAAATAACCAAAAATTTAAAGGTGATTTCCAGTAAACAATAAACAACAAATTTACTGATGAGGGCCTCTAAATGATGTCTGAAAACATTTGAGCAGTAAATTGTTTTTATGTTGTTTGCTGGAAATTGCATTTAGGTGTTGGTTAACTAATTGTTTTAATAGTTAAGTGTGTGAAAGATCTTGATGTCAATACATCAAATTTTCTAATGTCACAAATTCAAAAATGAGACTCAAGTAACCTAAGATTAAACCAAAGAAAGATAAAACTCCAATCTAATCAAAAAACTCAATTTCTATAATGCTAATGCCAAATCTGTAATGTCAAATATATCATTTGATATCAGTTCTCAAGAGAATTCCAAAACAAAAAACCTATCCTAAATGATTGTATAACTTGAGATTCATATCAAATAACTTTATATTTAATTGCAACATTAAATAATATATTCCCTAAATGTGGAGACACAAAGGTATCAAGTTCTGCTTTAAGTGTCAAAATATAATAATTTAATTCAAATATAAAGTTTGTTACCTCGTTATGTTTCCATCCAAAGCTCTCCGTCAATTCCGAAGTGGAAGCCGCCTCTTGGTTACTCAACAAGAGTCTGGCAAACAGACGTTGGAGTTGAAGAGGAATAATGCGAATCTTAGAACCTTTCTTTTGCTTGTCGTTCAAAGAACCCAATTCGCTTTCTTCCAGTTCAAATATTCCATCTACAATAATAGTAGTTCTAATTTATTTCAGAAAACTGCTTACATGTTCTAGAAATATGCATAAAATTATACACAAAAATGTACTAACTAGAAAACATTTTTAAAATAGTTGATTTTTTTTAATACTTCATCCAAATCATGATGGAAATAATGCTTCTATATGAATTAAAACTATAGAGTGCCAAAAAGTAAAACTCATAAGTAGTGTGAGGAGCTGAACACCAGAATTTGATTCATAGATAACCAGAGTCATTGATGAGAGTGTGGTCAACTTGCGGCATCACTAAACTCCCCACTAGTTTTACTTTCCTTTACTTTTCTTAGGAAAAAGTCTAACCTTTAGACTTTGGACTGTCGTCAGAAATCAATACAAGAGATGAAGATCAAGTAATGATGTGCCCATGCTTTATTTGCATATTTTCATCTCAGAGCAGATGACTGTTAGTAATAATTCTACATTGTCTCAATATTTACTACTCAGGCATTTGTTCAATGATAAATGTATAGCCCAAAATGAGTTTACTATAATTTTACTTCGAGAAAAGCAATTAAATCAAATTTATAATGAGAAATTCTTTTGTGAATGTGCCAATTTTTAAAATCTGCTATAATTTGTTGGCCAGTATTTTAAAAATTCACACTCAAACAAACAACTTAAAAATCATTTTATGACTTGCAAATATTTGTTAGTCGTGTAGAAGATAAGCTAAATTGATATATGGAAATCTTCTAATGATAAATAATAAATCTTTTAAGGCAACTTATCTTTAAGACTTATAAACTCCATTAAATTAATTAATGAAGTTCTCTCTTTTAATAGATTAATGGAGCATTTTCATCCCTTAAGACCTTAATGCTCAAACTTTTATTTACGTTTATTTTTGAAGACGCTGCTAATGTCACCATCATTCCTTGCACAGTGCAATGCCAGATTACTAAGAGTGTATAGTTCTAAAGTCTGCTAAAAGGCAAGAAATGACATGGCATGTTGTCCTTTGATAGTAATTACTTTTGAAAGTAGGAGAGCAAATAATATGGTGCACCAACAAATAATACTGTACTGAGAATTGAAACCCAAGTAAACAAAAAACTGGAGGTGTGTTGTAACTAATATTTTCACATAAATAAAAATGCATAGACACTCACACTGGGGTATGCCTGATAATTGAGAGGCTGAATTATAAAAGACTGAATTAGCAAGTGTCTACTGTATACATAAAACACAATGCATCAATAATGACAAACAGTTCAAAAACTGTTGATCTACTAACAAAGTGCACCATTTGGAGATGCAAAATGAATATTTGGTTCATTTTGCAACAAATTTTACTCAAAAATTTAGACCAAAAATTCAAACTTCCTTCTCTGTTCAATAATTTATATAGAAATTCAATTATGTTCCATTTAGAATATAACTACAAGTTTATTTTTATCATCATTATACATATATAATCATTGAATTCTGATTGGAGTGTTTTAAAATATACTTAACATTTAGAAAAAGGACAGAGAAAATTTGGCAACTAATATAAAATTCTGGAAAAACAGATATGAATTTTTATATTTTTAAATAATTGCTGGATATTTATTAATAAATTCTTGTGCAAAACAATCTAAACCAAATGATACAATAAAACATCATGCAGACAAACGATCAATTGATGTTAATGGACACTTTTGGAAAGATGCCAGGATTACTTAAGATGTTCCATTCAATAACAATGACATTTTTTTTAATAATTTTGCTTTACTTCATACAGTTAAACATCAATTCTGACAATTTATAAACAGGAAAGCAAGTTTCATCATCACTTCTTGTACTTTTTCTTTTTTTAAGATTAGCAGACAAAAATGTGTTGACAGTTAACAAGAACAGTCTGAAATTGGCAATGAAAACATAGATGATGAGTATATTTAGTAGTACGAACCACCTGATTTCTGTCTGGAACTGACAGGTCTGCTATTTTTAGTGAGTAACTCTAATGTCAAACATTTACTGTGTCTTACTTTTGACTCCTTAACTACGTAATAACATAAAGAATTTTTAAATATAACTTTTAATAATCCTCATACATTCAAGCACTTTAAACAGATATACATTCATCCTCAGGGCATACACACAAATATAAACAGTTTTCAAAGTAAAAATATGTGCATACACCTCCAAAGACATACGTTTTCAGTTCAAAAATGCTTGGAAATCTAAGGTTTATTAATAGTTACACCAATAAAGTAGTTATTTTTTCACAAATCTAAATCTCTCCTAAATTATTATTATTATAAATTAAGCAGGCCTATAATCCAAGAAAAAATTACCCAAAGGCAATACATAAACATGTGAATGATACAAAAGGACAATTCAACAAATTCTATTGTTAGACTGGCTTCTAAACAAACAGAATAGGAAAGTATCACTTCATAAGAAGAAAAGTTGTTATAAATAATGTTTAACCACTCTCATGACACATGACTCAGTTCAATTCATCTCATTATAAATGAATTAAAATTAATTAAAGAGATGGGCATCTCTAGTAATGAACAATTGTTTTGTTATATTTAATTGTTAAATCACTTCCTTCACCCCACCACATCTTCCTATGATTTCAAAACAAGAGTGCAAGATCAAGGTTTCACAGAACATTTATACACACTTCTCAGAGTTCAAGGTCAATTGAAAGAGGTATAAAACATTCGTTAATACTTCTATATTGTTCATTTATATAACAAATTCCAAATCAATTTTCTTATGACCTTCCCAATATGATTAATTCAATTGTTGTTATTATTATTATTATTATTATTATTATTAAATTGATAAATATTTCTTATATAATTTGAACATTTCTAAGCTAATATTAACATTCAATGTTTAATTTTAGGTCAATGTTATTTAAAGAAAGGAGTTTGGAGTTATTTTGTATACCCCTAATTTAAATTGGAAGTTCCTGATGTTTATAATTATGAATCATTTTCCAAAATTGAATTTAATCAGCATATCCCCTATAGAAAATCCCAATATAAATTACTAACAGGGTAAAATAAATTATCAAATAAGAATTAATAATAATTTTTTTTATTAAACATATATCAAAATTCAAAATTATGTGTTTTACTTTACTAAAACTTAGAGACAATATCAATTATTATTACACAATAGACTGTTGATAAGTCAAACTTTCTTAAATTCCATTTATTTCTGTCCCGACTTCCATAGACTCATACAATCTGTGTTTGAACGAAAGTAGCTTTCGGACTGCATTTCCCTAACTTAAAATTTAAGATCTGGAAACTATTCTATGTCTTATTTTGTGTGCTTTCATTTGCATTTTCAAGAGATAGATGATATTATCACAGAGCTGAAGAGTGGAATTAACCTCTGACTGCACAACGTGAACTTCAAAATGTTCACATTTTGTATCTAAAGTATCGATGATACTCCTATTTAGAGTAGTAATAATGATACTCTTTAAAATCAGATTTATGCGTTCATCTATATGTGCATATCTCCTTATTTGGAACTAAAGTTTCCTACTGTATAAATTTCAGTGTAAAGTTCCAATTGCATGTTGACATTTTCATCACCAATAGCAGTTGGTTAATTGGTGTAGTGACCATTTTCATTCTGAATTAGATAGAAATGGCAAACTAATTAGTACTGATATCACCAAGCTGACAAGATATGATTATTTACAACAAAGGATTCATCTAAGCACTATTACAAAACATCTAAACCCATATACAAAGCTTTGAAAACAACCAAACTGGAAACGAGATCTCCGATAACTCAAAGAATGCACGGCTGCACACCATTTTAGACCGACGGCAACGTCTAATATCGGCGGTAAAGACAAATGCCAAAAACTCTGTAATAAATGGAAAACATAAAGTGTAACTTTAGTACCCAGTCAGCTAAAGCAGTACATGGTGCTGATCAGCAGCAAGTGAGATCTTGACATCATTAAATTATTAATTAATTAACATGTTCATTGAAAGTTTTCTTTTGTTAAGTTCCTTCACTTCCCTAGTCAACTTATAATATTTGTTGAGCTTCCATTACTTTATAATTACTAGTAACAAGTAAGATCTACTAGAAATTTTCTTTTATCTTTAATGCAAGATTCTTTGCTTTTTCATATTCAAATGATATTTTGATTAGTACATGCATATTTTTTACATTAAAAAAAACAAATTATTATTATTGACATATGAAATGACAGCAAAATTAATTAAATTGGGCTACTTAACTGCTATTATGCTTAATTAATTTCTAAATAACTTGTTGTAAAGTAGCCCGATTTAATCCGGCAGTAGTTTGGCATATTAATAATACATCAGGTTTCATAATGTTTGCACGTGAACAAAATATCATGTTCAAACACATTCGAATTCTATACTCAAAAATTATGTATTAAACTTCAAACAAGGTTTGTTTTATGTATTTTGGAAGAGTTTCCATCAATCTAGATTAAAGGATCTAACTCCAATTCTCTCAAAAATATTTCAGTCTTTAAAAATTAACAAACATAATTAAATAAAGTTAAGTAAACTCTGAAATATATAAACATTAACATTATTAAGTTTGATAAAAGATTATCTTATCTTAATTTTTTTGTGACAAAAATATATTTCTGTTGAACTAAGTCTAAAATTCAACATTATCTTTATAACACAATACTCATTCAAGATGACAAACAAATATATAAAAATACAGCTCAAATTAAATTCAAAGTCAAAAAATTCTGGCTCACTATTCTCAATTTTTAAAAATAAATTGCTTTTTCTGACATTCAGAAAATTATTATTATTATAATTTTTATAAACTTCTTTTTTATAATCAATAGTTTCTCAAATTATATTTTAATTTAATTTTTGCAAAAATTTATAAAACAAATTCTTGGAGAATTATCTAACGCAATCGTGTCCTAATTAAGAGAAATGACATAGCAGTTACACAAAAAAAGTCAAACTAGTCACCGCAATTACTCGACCATATTGATACACCTTTAATGGTGGGTAAAGTCTAAAGAATGCTAATGTCGTCGACCCAGTTAACGGCCCTTCTTAGGCAAGGACAGTGAGAAAGTAGACCGGTAAAAGCCTAAAACAGAATTCGGCTTCCAACCGTCCACACCCAAAGACGGTCTGTTAACCGGGCCGAAAATGTTAGCAATCTTTAAGGTTCGTCTACTATTAGTTTCGACGGTTATACAAGTTACTACACTAACAAGTTGTTATATTCATGAGAAAACCAGTTTTCAGATTTGTTTCACACTTAGTCAGAATAAAAAATGCAAAGTAACAAATTGCTAAGAAAATGCTGTTCTTTAAAAATATTCAAAATGTTGATCATGAATACTGTACTGTTTATAATAAATGTATACTGTTTATTATTTCACACTATTTTATAAAGTGTAACATTAATGAATTATCATTTTTTCTATTTTCTTGTATATTATACTGAAAATCAAACATCAGTTTAAATGATATAAAACCATAAGATTATTAATAATAATTAAATTATTTATAATATAATAATGCATTAAACAAAGAAACAATTTAAAAGAAATATTTTTTGCATTACAGTATGACTGAAATGCATTATAATATTTTGATATCATCCAAAATAATCACATGCCAAATTAAATGCAAATATTCTTTTACAATACAGACAGAATAAATAAAACACAGCAGCAAATTTCATCATAGTCTAGCCATCGACATGCCTTACATAAACAATTTATCCTTTCTCTACAATAACTAATGGCCAATAATTATCTTTAAAATATTATTTATAAGCAACCATTGAGCAAAATGCTTTTTGGAAAATTTATACTTTTTTCTCTTTATTTGGAATGTGTCAGGGTCCCTTAACTCCATTTTCGGTGCACCACCGCTTCTCCATCACAACCACTTTCTATCGGACATCATTTTCATAACATTTACTTTACTTCTTAAAAGACCGAAGGCGACCGAAACCGGGCAAAACAATATCGGCCACAGGAATCAAGAGAATAATAACCGGCAAGCTTGCAAACAAACGACCGGGGTTTATCTACACACTATATACCACACCACTATACGTGGCAAAGGTTCCCTTCGAATCCTTTTGCTCGTTTTACTCCTACGAGAACCGTCCACAGCTCCGACAAAGTCTAACCACCTCATCCAAAGCCGCATTTGTGTTCCGGGGGATAATCTTTTGTAATTTTGACCGATCCGGAAAACCATCCAAACAAAACCGGCAAAAATTCGGTAGGGAGCTCGTACATAAAAATGCCACCACCAACAAACCAACGTATCTGATCCGCGTTTTCGCCTACCAGAAACGTCTCGGACATTATCGAGGATTCTAAACGTCGACGACCCGCAGCACGGACAAAACTTTACCTCTACGTTTCGTCACCCACGAGATCAATACGGTAAGAGGCAAACTCAAAATGAGAGGTTTTCCACCCAACCCAGAATTGGAGAACCACCTGCGGGAGCAAAAAAGTCAAAGGAACCACAACCGGCCACGGCGCACGACTCGACACTAGGGGTGGCCATATCTGGCAAAGGGTGACGCGTAAACGCGTGGTTCCTTTGACCTTTTAGCACCTACGAGTGTGATAATTTGCCGACCGTCTGATTCGGAGGTGTACTGTAATTATACTTATGAGACTTACCCCTGAATTCCGGAGTTAATAAAAGAGTCTGTAACAAGGTATTCAAATAACAAGTTGCACCCTGATTTTCGATTCCACTTAATCCGTAAACAGATCTGGGTGGAGGCACTCTTTTGGCACTCTTCATTCTGTTATTTTCTTGAAAGAGATTGCCGAACATCACCTTGGCGGCCCGATTTCCCACCAATTTATGCTAAGATGTCACGTCTCTTATAAAATGTTGCATTATTATTATTCTGAATAAACGGACGATCGAATAAATTACTGATTGCATCGAATTATATTCGATTTATTCTTTAAAACGAACGATAACCTATGTTGGCATTCCGCTTGTTTGTTTACGTCGGCATGGTGGCCGCCATTAACTCTATGGCAACCGCTGGCCGGTAGACGTCGCTCTCCTTTTCCCACGTTTAACCTTGTGCAAGGTTATTCTAGTGTCGAGTGTAGGTGTTTTGCTTACGTAACTTTAACTGTTGTTGAGTAAGAAGCCTTTCTAAATTTTGAGTAAAGTTCTTTCGTTATTAATTTTACAATTCTCTTTCGTTGTTTTATATTTTACAGCGCGTTGCAAATATCCACGTACTAAAAAAGTAAAAAAACAAAAAAAAAAACAGCAAAAACTTCCGTGGATATTTGTGTGTTTATTGGAGTCTATTTAGCTTTAATATCGCAGCATGGGGTAAAGATTAAGTAACGAAATTTGGCGTGGTAACTTGTACACGATGGGCATTGATGGTATTAAATTTTGGTGGTTACGGGTCGAGGAAGTGGGGAGATAAAGAGGATCGTGTGTATCTCCAATATGGTCAGACTTAATGAAGATTTTACTTGTTAATAATTAACGTCTACACTTCTTTTTATATAAAATTTACCTCTACTTTCGAAATTAAGCTTTTTGCCATTTTATAGTAATTGAAAATATAAAAAGTTTTTATTACAAAATTTGATAAGAGATGGCGCCACACACAATTTTATTTTTGCTTAATTTAATAATATAAAAGTTTTTTGATAAAAACTCGTAACAGCCGGAAAAGTTACGCAACTCTCGTTGCTATACTTTTTCTTAATGTGATAAACACAGAGTAAATATGGAAAGAGCAATACGCGACCAAAAATGAACAGATTTTACTTTTAAGTTATTTTGATATTATGCCTAATTTACATAATAATATATGTTAAATAACACATAAACACATGCACACAGAAATGCAAAGTTCGTTTTTGGAGAAGAAGGTCCTGGCTATTTTGCGATAAAGTCGTATAGTATCATTTGTCTCTTTTTTCATTCCTTAAGCAAATGTCGGTAGCAAGAGATCGAATCCAAAACGCCTCGTCTTACTTTTTCACTCCTTTCAAAATCTGGATCGTTCGCTACAGTTTGATCGACGATTTCGGTTATCGTTACCAAACTTTTACTAAGGAAATCTGTAGAGAAATTTTTTGGGTCTTCGTTTTCGGAATCACAGTTTTGCAGTTCTACGCCGATTCCCTGTTCTGCCGGTTCTCGAAGGTGGTCGTTGGTAAGGCCGTTGCCAGAAACCCGCGGTAACTCCTCAATATCCTGTTCGTTTACATCTGTTAGTCCTACTGCATCGATTAGGTTGACAATTTGGTGGACCTAACGATACAGCGATAGGCTCTTCTCGTCGAAAATTCTTGGATAACTTAGTCCATAACTTCTTCCACATACTGTTCACGCATTTATTACAGTAGTTAATTCTTGCCGAGCCGAGTCGATATTGTCTATGGCATCCGCGACGTTATATTTTTTTTTCCAAAATTGCACCAAACAAACATAGATTTAAGGGAAGTACGGCGCTTTGACGAATTGTCACTTTTTGCTGATTGGTTCGTGTCTGGGAAGAATCGTATTATATACGAATCGATAAAATGCCGCGATAATTTGAATCGGCGTAAATTTTGAGCTTTTTTAAGGCTTCGAGCAGACCGCGTTATATCGAATCTGCGTTAAGCGGGGTCTAACTGTTATTTTCTTTTGTACTATATAATGTGAAAAACACAATTGAAATTTCCCAAAAACATCATACACTATACACAGAATAAAATCTAAATATATTTTTATCTTAATATCTATACAATAGAAAATAAGTTTAATAGATGTTTCTATACTTCAAAATATATAAAGCAAAAACAAACTAGTAAAAAGTTAACGTATTATTTACACTAAAATAACGACTGAAGTATCCACCTGGAAGCACTTTACAGGTATACTCTTCTCTTTTAATAGTTTCTGCTAACTCGTCGAATGTTTTCGGTACCGGTTCGTCAATCTGTACGGCCATAAATAACGTCAATATTTCGGCGTGTCTCCAAACCAAAATGGCTATCACAAGCCACCAGATGTCAAATGCTATTCTAGAAGATGAACGATTGACGTTGTTGCTGTCGACTCCTGAAAATTAACGTCAAAGATTATAATTCGCTATTATAAATTAGAAGACAGTGTATATTGTTTAGATTTACCTTGATACATTAACGTTGTCATCAGATACCAGTACGTTCTCCTTAAAGTCCAAGGTTCCTCTTTATTGTCTTTCACGAATTTACGGAATATTAATCCAAAGACTGTAATGGTAAAGATCAAGGCCAACCAAACCTTTATGGAACAATAAGGAAAAGAAAATAATACATTTTAGAGGAAATAATTTTCTACTCGATTTCAGAAATTTTAGATGATTTATGAAGAAATTTCTACCTGTTTTGTGAATGGATTCAAAACTGATTGCCAGGTAAGTTTCTTTTTATGCCATTTCATATGAAAATGAGTTGGTTCGATGTGCGAGACTGTTGAGAAGTCTACATGACAATTGGCATTATTTCAGCAAACTACAAAATAACAGAATTTCACATTTATCTTCTATTTTAAATTATACTAGACCACTCGTGAGTTACTTACTGCTTCAAATTTATAAAGAATGGAAGATACCGTAAAGAATAATAGCAGAATTTTATAAAAGCGTAATGCCTCTGGATATCTCGTTTTATATACTGTATTTCCCCTAAAAATATATGGTCAATTTTAAAAAAACTTTTTTGTTTCTATTCTCGTTTGGGGTTCTTTAATCTAACAAAAATGGGGCCCCATTGAGCTTCGATAAGCTCTAGGATCCGAAAAATCTAGGTCCGTNCGATAGTAATTTACTCAAAAAATTAATTTTGTGATCTGAAATAATTCTATTTAACAAATTTTTATTTGCAATTTTAAAAAAATTATTTTGTAATTATAATTTAACCGATAGTAATTTACTCAAATTATTAATTTTGTGATCTGAAATAATTCTATTTAACAAATTTTTATTTGCAATTTACTCATGAAATTAATTTTGTGATCAAAGCTGCCCAAACCACTACTACTAATACCTTGTGTTTCATTTAACTTGTAACTGTGAAATATCTCAAGAAGTATGCATCTTACGAAAAAAAATGTTTTCAAATAAACCCTACATAATTTCTTACGGAAAATACGAATCTGCTATGAAAAATGGGGTTTCGTTTGAATTTAGACGGTTACCCCCGCCCCATCTCCAGCCAGCAGCGGAGGTAGCTAACTTGTGCAGGGCTGAACTGCCCCGTCTAAAATAGTAAGGGTTTATTTTAAACGTTTTTCATTAAACATCCTGTATAACTGCCGGAAAGGCAAAAATTGTAATGTGTATGAAAAAGATGCTCGTAAATTTTGAACGTATCTTAGTAACTACCTCATTTTATGATGAAAGTTTCAAAATTTTACAGATGATATATCAATTTTATGAGGAAATAATATAATTAAGTATTTCTTGAATAAATCCTAATCATTATTACGCCTTATTAAGTGTTCATTTTGATTTTTTGTAATGTAGGTAAGAATGTCAGAAACTATAATTTTGTAGATTTGGGTGCATCAAACGAAATAGGAAACGCAAAGCTTGGACGATAAGCAAAAAGACGGGTAACTGCCGAAAAGACTTTGTACGAGAAACTGCCCTATAATCTATTTTATAATTTATTGTAAGAAATCTAACTGTGTTTTGAACGTAGAGACGTGTATCGGTTCGAAATTATTCCAACACCAAGTATTCACCACTCGGTGAACAGAGAATCAAAACACATCTATCACTTTTAGAAAATGTTATGCATTTTTTAGCCCACTCCTGGCAGTCGGCAAATTGTGGACTATGAATATATTTGTTTTTCTCTGCACTAAGGTATTGCTTCATTTTACACGAATTGAAAGCGAAATGTTATTTCTGTTGTCGCAGATTGTCAAATAGAATAATAATTCCCAAATCAAAGGAGGTTAATATATAGAAATACATTGTATTCATATCGATATCTTCTAGAATGTAATGTTTTATATAAATATTCGAATGGGTTTATTTTTTTATTCTGTAATTCAAGACGGCATTAGTAGGCAATTCTACCTTATAGGCTACTTCAAAGGACTGATTTTATTTCCTGTGAAATAAATAAATTAATTAATCGAATAAAATGACACGAGTAGTAAATATTCTTTACTATAATTTGTGCCAAAAGGAAAATCTATCATCTTCAGAATTATAAAATCGATACATAAATTGCACGCTATTATTATATGCATTATCTGTATTATAGTAGACAAGATTAGTGAATGCTCTTCCAATTAATTTATGTAAACATTGACTAATAGCAAAATGATTTAATGTTTCTGTACAGCATGTAAAGATTAATTTGTTCAGAGTGAAATGCGAAACTTCAAGTCATCGTTACGCTTTACGACATTTTTCTGAATATTAATCAATTATTAATTNGACTAATAAATGCTCTTGCAATTAACTTATGTAAACATCGACTAATAGGAAAATGATTTAATGTGCAGTATTTAAATCTTAATTTGTTCAAACTGATGTTTCTAAAAATAAATCTGTCATCGTCAGTAAAATGTGAAACTTAACGGCATCGTTATGGCTCGACATCATGCTTTACGACATTTTTCTATAAACTCATCAATTATTAATTACAATATTTTAAATTTTTACATTATATTAATATAAGTACATTAATTTATTATTTCGTTGGCATTATATAATTTAATTTCGTGCACTCTTCTACCTACAAATCAAACGTGTGCGAGTAAAGTGGAACAATAAATTGATACTTATGTAAGAAAGTAGGCAGAAATATTATGACTGGAAAGGTGACACAGTCCGCTGTTCTACATTAAAGTTATCGCAGTCTACAATTCGTTTTATGTACAGCACACGTAACACGACTAATTACTTTCGATTTAATTATTATTATTTGTGTTCAAATTAGTAGTTGTAATTCATAAATATGTTAAGGGGTTTTACACCCGTAAGATCGACAGAGAAAGAGATATGTTTGCGGTGTTTACTGTCATCGTTCCA